CATGCAGAGCCAAGAAGGATATAGAAGATGTGGGCCAAAGTCCATGACACTGCAAGCCAAAGAGAGCTAACCTGTATTTGTTCTTTTGTCCCACTAACGCTCAGACATGTCCTGCTGTGTTCCAAGCACTGTGCTAAACATTCAAGATCTAATGGTGAAAAGATTGAACCATTCTTCCCCCAAAAAAACTACAGTCTAGTAAAAGAGAAAGACAAGTGAAAAGGCAATTAAAACGGGAAGGGTACCAGGTACAGGAAGGACAGACAGTGCCGAGTGCCGAGGAGCAACAAACCCAAATTTAGGGGTCAGAGGCGAAGGTAGAAAATGGTCACTAAAGCCAACAGCAGGATGAAGAGGAATGGGCCCAAGTGGAAGTGGGTGGAGGAGGCAGAGAGATTGTTCACAGCACAGAGAAAATGTGGAACTTCTCCTTGAAGAACTCAACTGAGGAAGGATGCTGGAGTACCAGGGGGTAAAGGATGAAGCTAGATTATCCAGGACCTCCTAAGTCTTAGGTAGGAGTTTGAAAAATGAGAACCCATTGAAGGATTCTATGCATGTTACAGCCAAATTCATTTTTTAAAAGATCATTGACTACAGGATGCAAAATGAATTGGAAGGAAGAATAAGTCTAAAATAAGAGGAACCTGTTGAGAGGGCTGTATGCTAATTCCAGATAAGATGACAGTGGCCTGGAGCACATCAGTGACCCTTGGAATAGAAGGAAACAGAGAAATTTGTGTGTTTGAAGAAGGTAGAACGCATGGCCTTGGTGTTATAACATAGTGAGTAGGTAAAGTCAGGATCTCAATAAAGGAGTTTGAAGGCATCCCTACAGAGATGCCATTATCATGGTCAATTTTATTACTCTTATCCAGGAAGATTGCCATTTCATGATTTCCTGTCTTTTCCTTTCAAACCAGTCATTCAAGAGCCAACAGTTGAAGCTCTGAGAGTTAGTTCATTTCCCTCCCCATTCTGCAGTCCCATAAAATCACGTCCTGGGCCCCAGAATCACTTTGCTCCTTTCCACCCTGACTCTCTTCTGCTCACTGACTCCTGAAGGCCTGAACAAGCCTCCATTGCCGGAGCATTTTGCTCTCAACCTACTGCAAAAGGTAGGAAATAATCTGATAAGAGTAATCCTCTGCTTCAGTGCAACTAGGAATGCCTTCCCAGGCAATAATCCTACTCTTCACTGCTTGCTAATAGAAGCGTGGTACAGGAGGCCTAACGACCTTAAAAATAAACCTCTATTGATAAAATTCCTTTCACCCATTCAGACAAACGGAAAAATATTACGAGAAAACATGAAAGTATTTCTGCTGCCCTTTGGACCACATTATTATTTGGTTGACTGTCCCACCTGGGAAGTCAGAACAGGCTTACAGAGAAACCAAAGAAATGTGAACACACCCTAGGTTCCCAGAAATCTTTGCTAAATCACAATTTAGTAAGCCCGACCTCAGCCGAGGCCACTTGAGCTGCCTAGAATGCCATTTTGAAATCACTAGCAACACCCACTGGCCATGCATTGAAGGTAGAAAGTGGAGAGCTTTCAAAATAATAGATTTCCCTGCTCTGAAATGCAGCCTTCACAGCAGCCACTTTTTAATTCATCATGGTCTTGTAGCAAGATTACTGATTATAAAGTCTTGAAATGAATAGCCAGAGATGGAGAAACTGTTGGAATCGGTATTTCTTTAATGATTTAGGGATTATTGGCCATTCATTTTCAACTATTTGTAACTGAAGTCTTGAAATAATGGAATTTATCAGAGGCATGCCTCATTCACCCTTGGATAATGTGAACATACTGAAATGGCACATGCGGACTCATAAATTGTGTGCGTGCACAAAGGGGTAATGTATCACTCCACCCCTCATTCAGTCAGGGCTGGGGGAGGAAAGGCATGGAAGGTTGAGTTATAGCTTACTAGACATGATCCCATAACTTCACATCTTACATCTCCAAGAGGCTTTTTTTTTCTGTACCTTCACATTATTTATACTTGCTGGTCATTCATGATAAAAGATACTTTTTATCAAGAGGTTTTTCTATCAAGTTTTTTAATTATTTATTTATCAAAACACTCACAGATGTTTTTGACAAAGTCACTTTCTGACAAACGGATCATTGCCCTGGGCTTAGAGCAATGAGCCCTGTTGTCTACATAAACTGTGCTGAATTAGACATATTATTTCTAATACCAGTGAGAAATGATAAACATATTAAAATCAAATTAAATTGTTTCTTTGTGGAGTAGTTTTAAGTTTAAAGTGAAAAGAGTGTAACTTTTTTTTCTTATTAAAGCTGTAACAAGAAATTCAGTTATTATTTTTAACCACTACAGAGGGCAGACATTGCGTTCTAGAGACAAACTTCTGCTTTAAAGCATCAGTTCTCCAGAACTAACTCCTTTTGCTGTTACAGTTATTTTCTTACTCCAAGTCTTTTGTATGCTGACTGAAATCTCAATCTGTGGGGATTGGTACCACACATATGTGAGGATGGAAATCTAGAATTTTCTGTGTTAAGGAATGTTTATAAAATATCATACATGCTATATGAATATCAGTTAAACACTCATATTATTTCTTGTATATGGCTTGCATTTGGGGTTTATTTCATGTGTTTAGATTTTCCATTTTATTTTCAAGATCTTCTAGATCCTTGCCACTCAAGGTTTTCCTTAGACCAGCAGTATCAACGTATCTTGGAAGCTTCCTTAGGACTGCAGATTCTCAGGTTCTGCGCCCCCCAACCTACGCTGTCACCCCCAACTACAGATGAGAAACTACATCTTTTACAAGATCCCTAGGTGATAAGTACATACACTAAAGTTTAAGAAGCCCTACTCTGCATGGTTGTTGGATGGGAGATGACATTTTGAAGGAGACATGAATCATTAATGAATCTGAGCAGGTTACTTAAGAGGCAAAATTACAAGAATTAACTGACTTTTGAGCACTTAATGTGTTCTAGGCATCATACTAACTTGATGTGTTTTACATGCATTATCTCATGTGGGCAAAAGGGAAGAGAAGACTTTTTCTGAGGATGGAAAAGTGACTTAGTAAATGTAGATATTCAGGAATATTCCAGGTAGTTATTGTAGCCCAGAGAAAAGAGCTAAATCTAGAGTGGAAGTATTCAGGATGGGAACAGGTATAGTTTACATACGTGAGGAGTATAGACTGGAGCAGAGACGATGGAGACAGGAATGTTTTCTGAATGACCAAAAAAAAAAAAAGTTACAGTAATGGATTCAGCCAGCCAGTGAAAAGCTATTTGGAAGTGACATAGCCAATATTCTGGAAACACATAATGATTTTCACTCATCTTCTCACTTTAGAACAAATGTTAAAAGACTATGTTGCATATTTACTTTATATTTTAATACATATATAAATAATATGTGTATATTACTCTATATAGATTCAATTCTTTGCAACGGACAATTCTTACAACCTTAATATTGGCATAGAAGTGTTTTACTTTCAGTGTATAATCATGAGTATTGAATTTTTTTCTTTAAGAAACAGGCTTAAGAATAACAGGTAGGAAATATAAATGAAGGAGAATATATTTAGGGATGAGAGAAACTAGTTTCTAATCTTGATTCTGACCCGATACTTACCGTAATAACTGATAAACCAAACTATAATCAACTAGTCTGTTAACAGGACTGATGTTACTGGTATGTTTCATGGAATTGTTTTAATGGCATGCAAAACTTTGTCTTGAGTGAAGAACGTTCTGAAAATTGGGAAATTTTAAATGCTTCTATTTGCTTTAGTTTTTTAAGGGCTCAGATCATTCTTATTCTAGTATGAACAATTTCTATAATTATATGAGACAATAAACAATTCCCATTAATGTCATTAGAAGCCACTGCTATAATTCCATTTTTCTAGAAGTAAATATAAAATGGCAAGTTACCTGAGTAGTAATATTATAGATAACAATTTGTATTGGTTATCTGTTGCTACATGACAAATTATCCAATAACTTAGCATCTTAAAGGAACAAACGTTTATTATCCCATAGGGGGTCAGGAATCCAGCTAGATGCCTGTGGCTCAAGGATTTTCATGAGGTTGCCATTAAGCTGTTGGCTGGGGCTGCTATCTTATCTAAAGGCTCTACCTATGAGCTTTCATTCACAAGGTTATTATTGGCTAGCTTCAGTTCCTTATCACATGGGTCTTTCCACAGGCTGCCTTATAACATGGCAGCTAGCTTCCCATAGAGCAAGGAATCCAAATGAGCTCAAGAGAGAGAAACCATACTCAAGATGGAAACCATGGCCTTTTTTATAGCCTAATGTTGGAAGTGACTTTCCATTACTTCTGCTCTATTCTATTTAATAAAAGCTAGCCAGTAAGCCCAGCCCATACCAAAGGAAGAGGATTACACACAAATGTGAATACCAGGAGGTGGTGATCATTGCAGGCCAACCACAACTGTTGTGGTGTTGTTGTTGTTGTTGTTGTTGTTGTTGTTACATAGGGTCCATGCTGGACGTAGAACCCAATGTGGGGCTCTAACTCACAACTCTGAGTTCAAGACCTGAGCTGAGATCAAAGGTTGGACGCCTAACGGACTGAGCCACACAGGCACCCCACAATTGGCGGGGTGGGGGAGGGTTGTGTCTTGCTTCCATATTTTCAGATATTTAAATAAAAATGTTACAGGCAATAAAATTAAAGAGAAAATATTCTTTTATCAGATATGTTGATGAGAAAAGTCACTGTTCTTTGGAGTTTTCTTAGTAAGACATTGAATCAACTGAAGACAGGATTTATTAATGAAACTTCCTGGCCACATAGTAAATCATGTCATGAATCCAAGTCTGAGATCATTAACCTAAGAGGGTTTTGTATAGCTTTCAAATTTTTGCACCAAAAAATTGAAATAGCAAACCCCCCTGGCAGTGATAGGAACACATCAATCTTTCTCATTGCCTAACAGTCTCCTTCTTGCTCTGTTCTCAATAGTATGCTTGAGAGTTCAAACAGGCTTGATGAAGAACACAGGCTGATCGCCAGGTACGCGGCAAGACTGGCGGCAGAGTCCACTTCCTCGGTAAGTAGTTTGAGTGAGAGGCTGTCATTCATGTTCACTGTTACCCTGACGGTCAGTGCTGACGGCAGGGCTGAGGAGGTGTTACTGGATGGCCTGCAGGACCTACACACAAGCCTTCCACTGCTTCCATTTGTCCCTCTCCAGCTATGGTTCTGGTACAGCAGAAATCATAGCTTCAGATATGCGGTTACAACACTAACTGCACCAGCCCACCCCCTGATTTCTCTGGATAATTCCTGATCACTTAATAAAAAGAGCAAAGCGATGACTCAAATCCACAACTGGCTCAGATAAGTTTCTACTTTTATCAATATGTAATAGATAAGAGAAACAAAAAATTGCATAATGAAATCAGAGGGAAAACCTGGATCACAAGTCAAAGTTGCCATCTGCCAGACTTAACTACAGGAAGCCATTTAGGACATAAAACCTAGGACCTCAAATCTCTTCGTTAGCAACACAGATCATTTGTTTGTTCAAAGAAATGCTAATTAAAAAATCATAGAAAAACTTTATGAAAGCCAGACATTTTACCAAGCTTAACCTTTCCTACAGTCATGTATCTGGACATTAAAAAGCAGGTTTTCCATGTCTTTGCGGGCTTAGTTAATCAGTGCCAATTTTAAAAACTTGGCATTCTTTAGTGGAAAGATTAATTGTGATTTTTTTTAATTTGTTTAAAAACGAATTGAGGAATTTCTACAATGTACTGTAGAGCAAGGAAAGCAAGGAGCAGGGAACTATACATAATCTGACCCTGCTTTTATAAAGCAATGACAAATTAAACCTTCATTAAATAAATACACCTTAAATATATACATATATTGCATGTATATGCATATGTAAACGTAATACATATGTAAAAGTTGACTCTCATTTAGAAATCTGAAAATCAGTCCGTCCTTGTTATAAAAAATTCTCTTACAATTATAAGTAATGTTCATATTGTGTAAAAGAACTCATTTAATAAAATAGTACTTTGATTTTACAACAAAAAATACACATATAAATATACATATGTATATATGTATATACATATATAATCATATACCTTACTTTTATGTATATGTGTATTTGGTCAGGTTAATTTGTATATATATCTATATATATAATTTGTTAAGATTAATTTGTGTGTATGTGTGCATATATATGTGTATATATATGTAATAGACACACACACACACACACATGTATGTATATGTATGGCAAAAGTTATGACTGCATATACACCAGTTGCTAAAGCCAGCTGCATGACCAGGAATGATGGTGTGGCATGAATGTGGAGGAAGGATGTATATATCCATCAATGTAAAATTACCCATGAATAAAGAAATGCTATAAGTATGTTGATCGAAAGAAAAGAAAATCCTAGTAACTATGATTTTAAAACTATGAAATTTTTAATTGTACATTACAGTGACTGAACAGTAATTCTAGAGAGGTGTCTCAACAAGGAAGTATTTTTTACACGCACCTGTATGGAGAGAACCATTGCAATGGGGACAGCACAGCAAGAACGAAATAGATCCCCAAAACTTCAAGTCAGAAAGCTCCAAAACAGGGGCTCCTGGGTAGCTCAGTCAGTTGGGCATCAGACTCTTGATTTTGGCTCAGATCATGATCTCAGGGTCGTGAGATTGAGCCCTGCATCGGGCTCCATGCTCAGCAGGGAGTCTGCCTGAAGATTCTCTCTCCCTCTCCCTCTGCCCCTCCCTGTACTCTCTCTTTCTCAAATAGATAAATAACTCTTTAGAAAGGGGGGTGGCGCCTGGGTGGCGCAGTTGGTTAAGCATCCGACTCTTGATTTCCACTCAGGTCATGATCTCAGGATCATGAGATCGACCCCCACATTGGGCTCTGTGCTCAGCACAGAGTCAGGCTTGGGATTCTCTCTCTCCCTCTCCCTCTGCCCCTCTCCACCCCTCTCTCTCTCTCTCTCTCTCTCAAATAAACTCTTTTAAAAAAACTAAAGTAAAAAATGATTTAAAAAAAAGAAAGCTACAAAACTATTTTTTCTGTGTTTTGTGTATTTGCCTGCCAAAGAATTCTGTTCTGCTTTTCATTGCAGAGGTGTCCTCCAGATTCATAGAGAAGTTGGTCCTTAGGAGATGAATGGCAACTTCATGTATTTGCTTTTCTTGCTTTGATAGAAATAATTTTTTCTTTCACGTCTGCCTGTCTCACGATCCCAGTCTGCTCGAGCACACGCAGTTTCCCTTCCCAATGTTAAATAGTCAACCACATGTTGGTTTTACAGCAGCCGACTCAGCAGCGGAGTGCTCCTGACATCTCCTTCACCATTGATGCAAACAAGCAGCAGAGGCAGCTGATCGCAGAGCTAGAAAACAAGAACAGGTAAGGCTTTTTAGACATGCTGGCTGTTTTGATCAGTCTGTGCTCACTGAAAGCTTGTAGTTAATGCTTTAAAATATCCAGGTGTTTCAGCTGTGTGTCTCTTTAAAGGATGACATCTTTCGTCAGCGATGTGGGCTTCTGAGAAGCGGGTCTTTAGATTTTCGAAAGCTTCATGAGACTATATATATATATATATATATAGTTCTGAGATCTCAGTGCAATCAATGCTTTCCCTCTAGACAGCCTCATTTCCCTTGTATCGACATGCTTGCTTTCGTCAAGGAGCTGGCTCATGCAGAGACAAATGGAAGGCTGTTCAGGGAAGAGCCCGGCCGAAAGAGGCATTTGGACTGACACCACGGGCCCCCAGTTGCTCAAGCCAAACACCTAGAGGCCCAGTCCATTGGCAGGCTTTTCTTTATTCAACACAGACTGATTTGCAGCTGACCATCACAACATATCCCAAACTGCCCACTCCATTTCCACCATTACCACTATCCCAACCCGTCACCGTATAAAACACAAGTCATATCAGGTTATTTTCTGTTCAAAACCTTCTGATGGGTTTCCGTCACACTTTGACTAAAACCCACCCCTCTTACCATGGTCTGCAAGGTCTGACCGGGACTAATTCCTGCCTACCTTTCCAGCCTCAGCGAACCCCGCTTATTACCCTCCTCATTTCTTTCTTTATAGCCTCTGCACTCATTGCTCTGTCACTGTAGAGAGTTCTTCCTTACAGTCTCTGCATGGATGGGCCCTTCTCATTATTCAGGTCTCTGCGCACAAGACCGCCTAGCTAATGCCATGACCTCCTACACCAGGAACCACTCTCTATCACAGCCCCGTGTGTATGTGTGTGTGTGTGAGAGAGAGAGAGAAAGAGAGAGAGAAAGAGAGAGAGACATCACTATTGGAAACAATAGCATCTATGTGTTTGCTTCCTTGTGTATTGTCTGTCTTCCTTGACTGAAGTGGAAGTTCTTTGAGAACAGAGGCCATGCCACATGGCCCCTGGGTTCCAGAACCATGTTTAGAACATTGTAGAAGCTCAGTAAATAGATACTGAGTGAGAAAATAATAAATAGTGGAATTAGATCTCAAACTCAATACTGAATAAGTCCAACATAGGAGCAACTTGTATGTTCTATATTTCTTAGAAGAGCACCAAAACGTCTTACCCCTGAATCCCATTCTTAGACACTGATGTAACTTCTGAGGTCAAATTGAATAGAGGACAAGGTTGGGATCATTGTTTCATGCCTGTAGAGTTTGACCTGAGAATTTGGAGATAAATGGTCAAAGTATTTTTTTTTTTAAGTTCTATGGAGAGGGGCACCTGGGTGGCTCAGTTGGTTAAGCGTCTGCCTTCAGCTCAGGTCATGATCCCAGGGTCCTGGCATCAAGTCCCTCAGCAGGGAGCCTGCTTCTCCCTCTCCTGCTCCCCCTGCTTCTGCTCTCTCTCTCTCTCTGTCAAATAAATAAATAAAATCTTAAAAAAAATAATAAAGTTCTGTGGACAAATATTTAAAGGAAGATACAAACTTGGTTGGCATACTTCCATGTTCTTAGAAGGAAAGAAAGACTAAAGTGAAAACTCCCAAGCCCACAAATATCTTATCTTGGTTGTAGTGTTCTCCTCCTCTCCCACCTCTCCAGAGCACTATTTTCCCTGCCAATCCTCTGCTTCTACTGAGCATGAGGAGAAATCAGAACTTCCCTTAAGGAAATACCCCAGGCAAGAATATCTGCCTCCATGTGGGATTTCAGAATCAGCAAGAAGCACCATGAATGTCCTCATGGCCCGGGCTGTCCTGTGCTACCACTCTTACTGCTTGTTTCCAAGATGTTTCTGGATATTGTACTCTCCGAATGCATGTTTTAGGACCAGAGAGAGAATAAAGAAATAGGAGTGAGAACACATGTCAGAAAGAGAAGTTCATCCGGTCCCTTAGTCCTTTCATGGCCCATAGAGTTCCCCACCCCATGCCTGAAGAGTATCTAGTCCATCCTGAACACATTTCTCTAAACCAGTGGACTCATGCCCTCCAAAGACCCCAGAACCACATCCCAGAAACTTATCCAGGTCCGACTGCTGCACCATGGGAATTCACCCCAGGGATCCCATGGTCTCCCAGGTGACAATTAACCCACTAATCAGATATCTGACCTTCAGGAGAGGATAGAGTTCCTCACTTCACTTTGTGACTACCCTAGGTAGTGGACATTTCAGCAGTAATCTTAGAAGATAATGCTTCCTCATAGCACATTTGGAGGAGCCGGTTGGGATTGGTATTAGGAGTAGCAGGACTCTTTATATTGTGATGCAGAAGTCAGAGCCTGCATAGGCTAGACCTGTCAGAGCAAGTACCAAAGACAGAGGGAGTTGGATATATACAAGCTTTGGAGCCAAGCAGCCTGAGTTCAGATCACCTCTGCCACCTATTTGTTATTGAAGTTGGGTGAGTCATTTAATTGGCCTGTGCTTTGATTTCCTTATTCATGAAACAGATAATAGCAATACCCACATATAAAATAATTTGTATGAGGATTAAATAAAATAAGATGAAAGAAGAGAGCATTGTTCCTGGGTAGAGACTAAGTACTCAATGCTCTTTACATATCTTACCATTATTTTCCTTATCAGAGCTGCTTCTCTCTTTTTCTTCCTTAGGCTAAATGCTGCGTCTGGTTCTGTCCTTGGAACCAACAAGGAGAACTAGTGGGAGTTGTAGAATATCAGGATGATAGCCCTGAAGGAGATCTTTGAAATCCCAGCTTACTGATTTTCAGGCTGAGCTCTGTGGGACCGGGGGCGGGGGGGGGGGGGTTCTCTGTCGAGGTGCCTGAAGAGCAGGGAGGAAGGGCTTGCAGCTCAGGACCCACCCTTTCTTTCACCAGAGCAGCTCCCTTTTAACCATTTGATGTATTGAATTCCCATAGAAAATTTCTCTTAAAGAAAGGTTTCCAACATGGAACACCAAGGGGGACAGAAAAAGGTGGGAAACCACTGAATTTTAGTTCAGTCTTCTCACTGTACCTGCTAGAGGTGTAGTGACTGATAATTAGCTCCTTAACTCTTGGTGTGTTTATGAAGCAGGCAGTTGTAAATCAGCCTTTCAGATGGAAAGCCATCCCCCTTGCTCGCCAAGTTCACCGTCCATTCCTTGGTGCTTTGTTCTTATTGTCTGTCTCTTGTGCATTTTCCTGGATGGGAGACTGACCCCTCCCCCAAGAATACGTGACTTGTAACCTTGCTTAATGGCTTCTAACTCACTTAGGGATAATTTGCCTTGCACAGGTCACCTATCCTTTATGGCTGGCCTAATGTTCACCTCAGTGCGGGGCAGCCCAGGCTCCAACATCAATAATAGACTGACACATCTCACCCCGGACAGAGGTCACGCCAATAGCACTCTTATGTCACACACTCAATTACAGTGAATCCTTTTAAAAGCACTTTCCTTCAAAGGCTACCCTCATCGAGATCCATTGTTAAGGCTGAAAATGTTAAGAAAAAGAAAAAGAATTTTGCCTAACGGGGGCCTTCTCAAATAAATCCAGCGAGAGGAATCTCATTCCTGCTGAGAGAATGGGGTTATTTAGTTTTGTGAAATGAACACCATTTATCCTTATTTTCCCTCCAAGCACCTCTAACTTGGTAGCTGCAAGTACTTTTCATGGTGTCACACTGTGATCATCAATAATCAGAAGATACATTTTTGGCTCCGAAGCAGTGCACTTTTCAAAGTTGAACACATTACCACAGCATTATATCACTTAGTAGAGAGATCATTAGGTCCTGGCGAGCCCTCTCAGCTTGAAGGCTCCAGCAACACGCGCAGAGCCTGGGCGTGCTTGAGCTGAGATGAGCCTTCCCTTCCCCATCAGTGCCCAGCTCCCCACAGCCAATAGCTCCTAAACACCGTTGGTACGCATGCTCCTGCTCCCGAAGACGGGATGACCCCGCCCAGATGTGAGTATCCGGGAGCCTCTGGAAGGTGACTGATCCTAGTTTCTTACCTTCTTCCTCTCTCCCAAGAGAAATCTTACAGGAGATCCAGAGGCTGCGGCTAGAGCATGAACAAGCCTCTCAGCCCACCCCAGAGAAGGCGCAGCAAAACCCCACTCTGCTGGCCGAGCTCCGGCTCCTCAGGTAAGAGGGGAAGCCCCAGGCCTCTTGGGGCGTGCAAGTGACGGGGATCTTCAAAAAGTCCAACAGCGTCTAACCAGGAAACAGTCCTCACCCACCCAAGCTGCTGACATACATATGTGTGCTTTTTCTTTTTTAATAGCACGTCCCTAATTTCTGGTATTTGGGGGGTTTCAAGGATGCTGTTTATATTTTATTCTTTCATTTGACACAGAGAAGGGGAAACAGTGCTCTTTAGAAACAAAATCTCTCACTGGAAAAAAAAAAAGGTGAATTCAACTCTTTCTTGTTATTTGCACTGCCAACAACGTGTTTATGATACAAGTGATCAACAAAACAAACACATGAACAGCTAAATAAACATCACAGGTTTGTACACTTAAAAATTTACCGATAAGCCATAAAAAGGAGTCTGATTTTCTCTGAATCGTGGTCTGTAATAGCTTTACATGCTTAAAGAACAGACTTCATACCTTCTTGCTCTGCAAATGAATTAAAACACCTGGTATTGTCTAGTCTGGCACCAGAAAACATCTGAGATGGAAAGGACCCTAGAAGGTCATCTGGTCCCACCCCTGAATTTCACTGCACTTCTCAGAGTCAGAAAGGTGGACAGCAGCTGAGGACTTCAGCGCCTCCCACTGTGCCCCGGTGCGAAAGGGTGGGTGCCGAGGGCTGCCCCGCAGGCCGGCTTAGCTCCATGCCTTGACTATGGCACACACTCAAACCTGTTTGTATAGCAAACAACACAAGCATAAATTCAGAGCCATTGCCTCATAGAAATGTCATATTTCACGAGGCACTTGGACTTAGCAAGTATGACATTCCTTCCATCTTCCAGTTTGGGTATATGCAAAATTCTGAGGCATACTTTTTATAGGAAGTACAGATGCCTCTTCTCAGAAACCCTTGTCAGAATTAGAGTGCCTTTGACTTCTTCCATACAGAGCAACTACATTAAGCAGGTTCTGTATGGCTGTGTGTGGATTTTACCACGGATGTTTCTGGGGGTTCCATCCCAGCCCTGCTCTTCAGACATGTTAACATCCAGGCACCGCAGGCTACAGGCTCTGCCTGCTCCCAGCGAGGCTCCACGCTCGCTCTCCCCAGACTCGTACACCTGTCTAGATGGCAGGCCCACCCAAGGCATGAGTTATAGAAGGGAGATCTATGGAAGCTGCAACCTGGGGGAGCTGCTTGATGTGAACAGATCATGTCATACTTTGAAATAACAAAATAATTTAATGGAAGAATCAGAAATTCTTCCTTTTCAAATGATAGAATCTCTGGTCCTACCTTCAGGGAGATGTGTTAGAAATCCTTGCACATCCTACTACACCATCTCCCAGAAGGGATGAACATGGGAAGAAGGAAAAAGTGATATTTCATACCATCATCCTCAAAGGCATATAAAAGTAAATGCCTGCTTGAAAGAATCTTTGCCTAATAGGATTATGTAGGCCCTCCGGGCTCACAAGTTGCAAGTCTAACATAGACAGAAATATAACTGAATAAACCAACTTAGAAATAGAGTAATCATTCATCTACGCATCAAGGTACCTTGTCTCTGTCTGGAATGTTCATTATACCTCTTCCGTTGATTGCCCCATTCTCTGTTGGAGGCATGATGACTAGGAATTTTTCATAAATGTTTTCATCAGATCCCCTCCTTAGCATTTGCTTTTTGAAAGTCTTTGGTTCCATTTGGATGATGCAGTCTGAGAAGGCACCTTGATGTGCCTGGGTCACTGATGATAGTTTTCCAACTGATATTTCTTCCCTCCTTGACATTACTATCTTGGAATAGACTGATAATTCTAACCACCCTCCTGGCCCTGCCTTGTGGGCCCTCCCATAGACCCAGCCAAGCCCAAACCTATGCTGAGGAGTCTGGCTCTGTGAGAAACTTCAGTATTTGGGGGGCTCACTGTCAGCCAGTGGCCCATACCTGACGCCAGAGGCCTGAGGCCTGAGACACCTAAATCCCAACGGATTTGTTTGCCTGCCTCCATATTCTACACATTTCTTCTACCTGGATATTTCTTGAGATGCTGATAAGCCACTTAGTCCATATTAAGCACTTTCACAATTTGGGGATTTCAGAGAAACCCTGACATCCCAGGTTAAGAGAGTTCCTTTGGGTAGTCTAACTTTTATTCTTTAGACATTTTGGACTCTAAAACAATGGCCTCTTGCACAGTTACTTTGGCCTTAGTTCACACTGAGGGGTGGCCATGTGAAGCAGCCATGGGAACTCTTTGATAGAGATCTTCTCCCTACATTGCAGCCTGCCTGGGTCTCTTATTGAGAAACCAAAAGGAGAAATTTCTTTCAGCTGGGGAACAGGCAAGTGAACAAAGAAACGGAGCTCTGCTTTTCATGAACACATAGTTTATTTTTATCTTAAGAGCACTATGACCTTTCTAAATAATCACATGTCCATTTGCACATTAGCCGCAAGAAAGCTGCAAGCCAGGATTGCAACCCAGATCTGGCAACTGAATGGGATCAAATGATGGACAGTTCTGTGTGCTAATCTGACACTTCCTATGCACTAAGCTCTACATACACTGTCCCGGGTAATTGCTGTAACAAAGCCGGGAGATGGACACTATTATTTTACTCTTTGTATAGATATGGAAACTGAGATTCACAGAAGCTAAATAATTTGCCCAAGATCCCGCACAGTGAGTAACACAGGTGGATTCCATCTCCTCTTCTTGGGTCTTAATTATCTCCTGCTGAACTGTTATTACTCAATTGATTCCTGTCCTCTGGTCCATCTACACTGCTTTCAGATTTATCTTTCCTCATTTTATCATTCATTTAGTTCATTCAGCAAATATTTCTAAAATGCAGTATGCCCAGAATTGAGTTGAGAAAGATACTGTCCTGGTCTCGCAGAATGTGTGGTCCAGTAAGAAAATGACATAAATCAAATAACTGCACAAATAAGAAGATAATTACAAACTGAGATAAGTGCTATAAGGAATCTTACTTTTAAATAGAGACATAATTATCAAACCTGCCCTTCACTGCAGTCAGAAAAGAGTACCATGAAGAAGGATTGTTTGAGTTGAAGTATGAAAGATGAATACATAGGAAATGGGGATTAAGGGTAGCAGAGGGGCTGGAACAGCTGATGAAGGGTCCCCTGGAAGAGAGACCAGATGTGCAATGACCAAATGGCAGTAGCGAAATCTGGCACGTTTTTTAGGAACTGAAAGATCGATAGGTCTAGAATGCAGTGAATGAAGGGGTGTACGGTAAGAGATGGAGCTGAAGATGTAGGTAGGGGTAGACCATGATGCTGTGGCCTCACAGACCATCTTGAGGATATTGCTGTTAATTCCAAAACAGGAAGCCATGAAGGATGATAGTTACATATCGAGCCAATACAGTGAGTTAGATTGTAAAGTCAGACTCACATGAATCAGAGATCTTACTCCAGTACTGAATTTTACTAATAGCTTCAAGAATACAGGCAATCAAGAGGCACAGATGAAGCAGAGAAAGGTCTGGAATATTCCATATGATCCCTGAGGTCTTTCCCTTCTACATTTGGGTAGAGTTTTTGAGGGAGATTTTGCAAGTTTATCTAGTGAGCCTTCCTTAAACTTCCACCACCATTTGGAACTGGGCATCTTCTTTGGTATCACCATATATAGCAATTTGTTTGAATTTTTATTGTATGCTCGCCATCATTGTTTTGAACTTATTTATTTCTCCTCTCTCCTCCTCTTTCACCCAAGGATAAAAACCGTATCCTACTCGTTATTTTATTTACAGTGTCTTAAAACAAAAGTGCTGAATGGATGTTTGTGGGATGAATGGATAAGCTGCAAAACTTGAAGGGATAGCTACAGAAGTGTGTTTGCAAAGACAATACCATCTTGTAAGATGAAGAAAACATTTATTAAAACTGTGAAGCAACTAACTTCACACTACAAATCTCACAGGGGAAAAAAGTATAATTTCCATGTCTATACCTTGCCCAAAAAATAAGCATTTTATTTTATACCCCCAAAATTACATTATTTTCAATGTATATAAAATTATTCTTGAAGAAAACTTGCTAATATAAGTTGAATTTTTTGTTCTATTAATTAAAAATGAAAGTATAATCTCTGCTGCAAGTCTGTAGTTTCCAGAGTTGAATTTAATAGACTAGTTTAATTTTTTAATTATTTTTGGGAAACAACATAAAGTTGAATACTTTTTGTTTTACCACAAAGTGATATATTTTAAAAGTACCATTGTCTCTTTTCACCGCAGTTTCATGAATGACGGTATATTTTTTAACTTTTTACTTTGGAACAATGTTAAGCCTACAAAAGAGTTGTAAGAATATCACAATGAATGTCCTTCTATATACTTCACCTAGAGATTGCAAACATTTTACCACATCCTTCTCTATCTCCCTCTATATGTTAATATATAACAATTACGTACACGTTTTTGATGAGTCATTTGAGAGTAAGTTGCAGACATCGTAACCCTTTACCCCTAAGTACTCCTGTGTATGTTTCCTAGGTAAAAATGTATTCTCTTACATAACCATGGCACCATCATCATATTCAGGCAAGTTAATATTGATGTTTATTATTATCTAATAGACAATCTATATTAAAATTTTGCCTGTTGTCCTAACATTGTCCTAAGAGAAAGCAGGGTTGGTTTTTTTTCTTAAGATTTTATTTATTTATTTGAATAAGCACGCGTGGGGGGGGCAGAAGAGGAGGGAGAGAGAGAATCTCAAGCAGACTCCCCCCTGAGCACAGAGCCCAATGCAGGGCTCGATCCCAGGACGCTGAAACCAAGAGTCAGACCCTTTACCTAACTGCGCCAACCAGCTGCCCCAAGTGAAAGTAGGTTTTAACACACATGCAAAATTAGAAATAATCTGGCAGAATCTCAGAATAAAAGCCATTCCTTTAGAGATGTAATACATTAAGCTCTATGAAAATAAAATCACTACTTAGTCCTTGTTTTCTTGTTCCTACTTGGAACCATAGAAGCTACACCACAAATTTGTTGATCAGACCCACATTTGGTAGCCACTCAGAGAGAAGATTAAGTAAACACTTACAGAGAAGATTAAATAAAGACATTATTAAGTGAATTTTTTTTTAAAAATTGAATTCAATCAAATGCATGAAAGAGTAGATGTCAGGGGCACCTGGGTGGCTCAGTCGGTTAAGCGTCTGCCTTCGGCTCAGGTCGTGATCTCAGGGTCCTGGGATCGAGCCCCACCTCGGGCTCTCTGCTCGGCGGGGAGTCTGTTTCTCCCTCTCCCTCTGTGCTCTCTCTCTCTTGCTCTCTGTCAAATAAGTAAATAAAATCTTTAAAAAAAGAAAGATTTGTTTTGAAAGATTACTACTATAAGAAAAAAGTACAGGACACCTGGGTGGCTCAGTTGGTTAAGCGTCTGCCTTCGGCTCAGGTCATGATCCCAGGGTCCTGGAATCGAGTCCCGCATCGGGCTCCCTGCTCAGCGGAGAGCCTGCTTCTCCCTCTCCCTCTGCCTGCTGCTCTGCCTACTTGTGCTCTCTCTCTGTCTCTCTGTCAAATAAATAAATAAAATCTTTAAAAAAAGAAAGAAAGAAGTACAAATGTTTTTTAATGTTGATTAATTCTAAATTAATACCAGTTAACTTTCTCTCATAGTTTTTAGATGCCTTTCTTAGTATTTCTTATCTACAATATTGGAATTTTACTGCAACCCTCTTCACAAAGTGTTCCTCTGACCAAAAATCCAAAAATTACAGAGCAATATCTGGAAGAGAACTGGAAATGTATCAGAAACATTCTCTATCCTTCTGCCAAGCCCTATCGTGGGTATATTTGGAACATGATGTGCAGACAAGGTCAAAGATAAAACAGGTAGTGGATTTGTCATTGAAGAATATTTTTGAATGGAGCAAGGCTTTCAAAATTAGAATGTTGCAGCCCTGGAAGACAAAGACTAAAATAAAATACCATTAAAGTCTATAAAATCATGATGTTCCTTGTCCTTTGGGACTCAGAAAAGAGGAAACTGTAAAGAAAATCAAAGGAAGGAATGCTCTGAGAGTAAGCCTTAAGTGGCAATAAAAGCCAAAAATACAAATATATCCAAAAAGAGTTGAGACATGTTTATAAATTTTAAATTCATAAATCATTAGAGAAAGCCTGTATCAAAGCAAATTAGAAATGTTTCATTAATATCCATAACCTGTCCTCCCACAAAATATCTTTCAATTGGATGAGTCATTGACCTATGTCAGCATGACATTTTTATATTGTCAGTTTTTCATTTCAGAGTCTCTGCTCTAGCTCCACTTAATATTGTGCCTATGCCATTGAGACTGGGCATATCAATTCGTACATTAGCCCATGGTTAAAGCATCCACACATTTTTAAAATGTAAGTTCCAGTATCTCAAACTCAGACAAAAGCCTTTGGGACAAGGGAAAAAATTGTATGTATTATTCACTAATGATCATGAAATACCAGATTTGAAATTGACTTGAAAAATATACATAGACGTCAGAAATGTGAACCATTAACATTCTTCCCCATACTGTTTCATTTCTTTTCTCTCTTTCAAAGGTATATTTGGTACCTCTTAGTGTCAATATAAATGATAGAGATTGTCCTTTGTGGTTTCCATTCTTGCTGACAGTTTAATAGAAGTTCTGCAAAACAAACAAAATTAAACAAACACAAATCTTATAGGTTATTTTCAGTTAGAACAATTGTGTAGGAACTCCTTTATTCTGACTTTGCTTTATATAAAGTCAAACCCAAAGCAGAAAACTTAAATTGACTATAAAAATTCTGTACTATGAATATTTCACCTCTGAAAGGCACTGCATTGCATACAAAGAATGGAAGAAATGAAAAATAAACTCTTAAAATCCAATTTCCAAATACTAAGGTATTGGTATTTCCTTTGAGATTTACAAAAGGGTCCTTGGGTTTGGAGGATCTTTGGGATTGACCATTTTCAGTGACAGTTTGGCTTTTGGGTTTGTTGTCTCGGGGAGCTCAGTGGCAGAGCACAGGGCCCAGGACATAGTAAGCATTCAGAAAAGAGTTCACTAAATGGTTAATTCAAGGTAGAAGTGGGGGAGGGGAGGGAATATCCAATAGGAGTCTAATTCTATTATAGTACGACTTCTAAGAAACAAATGTACACCTCATGTTCATTCATTTGACAACATCTCCGTGCCTGGAAACAATGTCAGAGATCCAGAGATGCCCTTTTTCTGGTGACCCACTCCTGCCACAAGACTGAGAAATGTGATCAGCTCAGTGGGTTGAATGCTGTTCTGATGACAACTGCTTCTTTCTTAGACAGCGCAAGGATGAGCTGGAACAGAGAATGTCTGCTCTCCAGGAGAGCCGGAGAGAGCTAATGGTCCAGTTAGAAGGTCTCATGAAGCTACTAAAGGTAAGACGTTCGAATAAATATTTCCTAGACCTCTGACTGTGGCATTTGTAAAAAATCTTTCACACATAATGTGCAATGGTTTTTCCAATGACTATATGTGATCAGCCCCAGAATATGGCTTCAGTCTCAGAGACAGGATCTTTTCTTAGATACATCAAATGATAGCAGTCAATGACAAGGCTCATTCTTCTCCATTTCCTGGAACCAGACCACTGAGGGCCTTCAAAGGACAACTTCTTGGCTTATTTCCAGTTCCTATGTCCTTGAAAATAATAAAACTGGATTTATTTAGGAATACTTTACATTTAATAGCTTTACTAATTCTGAATAAAGTGAACAGAAGCTAATGTCTAATTCAGAAAACGAAGATATAGCCATGAAATTTTGGGGGTGACTACTTTTATTAAGAGGAATAACTATTAATTTCAGTGAAATATTTCATCTCATCTGTGTGGCTTTAGCAGCAAGTCACATAACTTCTATGAGTCTCAAATGCAAACTGTAAATAGGAATTTGCTCTCTTCAGGTAGAGGGTTTAATAAGATGACCTAGGGAAGTGCTCTGCAGAGTGCTGTGATGTCATTCTCACTGGGAAGTAGCATTCTTCCTTTCATTAATCCCTATTCTCTTCTTCGGTATGTACTAAATCACATTCCACATCACAGGGAGACTAATGATGGCCCCTTGGCCACAGTTGGCTCAGTAGGGAAATCAGTGCTATGTGGTTATCCTGCCTGATGTAGACAAGCAGAAACCACTGTGGAGTGGAACTGGGACTTGCCAAAGGCAGGAACTGAAACTTCTGATGGAGTGAGGAAGGCCAGGTCCCTGGGGCAGCTCACCTGTGAGACAGACATCCATACTTCCGGTCCCTGGGTCTCCCACATCCCTGACACACCATCATTTATTGTTTGTCCCTTCTTTTTCTTTCTTTCCTTTTCTTTTTTCTCTCTTTCCTTTTCTTTTTTCTCTTTTCTTTCTCTCTTCCTTGTTCCTTTCTTCCTTTCTTTTATTTATTTAACAAATACTTGTTGAAACCTGTGTCCTGGCACGGATATAAGTGTGACACTTCTTTCGTTTTCTCTGCTCTTTTTTTTTATTCCTTAGTCAACTTTTCCTGCCATCAGTGTTGGGAACGCTTTATCTTCTCTAAACGAAATCTCCTTTTCAGACATGTAAGGCAATCAGTTTTTGTGGTACTGTATGTATGAAGACAGGACTAGATAACTAATAACCTCTTACTGTTTCTGCCCTATTATCTCATTTGATGATCCAGAAAAGCTCTTTCTGCTTGCCTTTTCAAATATACCAAATGAAGAGTGTCGATCTCATCTTTCCCTTCACTGAATGACAGGAAACCTTGAAAACAGCCCCCCACTTATATTCCCATAGCTTCTGTCACCATAGCGATGTGACAGGGGTCCATTTACCACCAGCCATCTTCGCATCCACCTAGCTAGCCTACCCGAGCGCAGTCTATCAGATCAGGATGTACAAACACCAGGAGAGAGGGATAGACTACATTGAAAGATGGATGGACATAGGGAGGAAAGAGATGGTCTGTCTCAAATACCTAAATAGACGTGGAACTAAAAGTCACCAAGGTAGGAGAGGCTCCCATTAGAGCCATGTTGATGTTTCCCCCACCTTGCATTCCCTCACACTGTGTACATGCTCTTGCTGGAACCCTGGGTAATCTAACTATTATTGATTCAATCTTTCTGTAGGAAGAAGAACTGAAGCAGGGAGTAAGTTATGTTCCCTACTGCAGGTCTTAACTAACTGTGGAGGGGCCTGCCATCCTGCTGTTTTTCTCATTGCTTTTGCCTCTAATGTATGTTCATGCTTCAGTTTGGAAAGAGAAAAAAAAAATCATACTAATTTGCTTCCCTTTCAATGTAGTGCTTGAATGGACACATATAAAATTTAGTGTTTTTTATAACTATTACTACTGTCGGCATCCAAACAAGAGCTATTACATCTTTTAGAAGAGGGAAAAAAATTGTAATTTGTTGGAACCTTTCTAGATCTCCAGCAGTCTATGTTTCAAACCAGTCTCATGCTTTTCTGGGTTGTTGATCAGACCCTTCTCTTAGTAGAGAGACACCCACCACCGCCACTAAAGTTACATTAAGAGAAACCCGCGGCACTCAAGCTACCCTCTACGTCCTCTCATGCTGTTGACCATTTAGTTCAGTTTCCATTTTAATGGAAAGGTGTGGGACCTCTTTGTATAAAAGTCAGCCAATTGCATCTCTTTTCATTGCATAATTATTAAGCCCTGTCCTCCCCGTCACCAAAATGTATTCAATCTAAGAGAAACACTGTACTCAGCAAGTGTTCACTTCCCACTGTTTAGTTCTTGCAAGCAGAATTCCTACCATTGGTTCAAAATAATCTCAAGAGAACAGGTAACTTTCAGGCTTTTTCGTATCACCAAGAACCTTCCTGCTCTGGGAGTTCACAAGGCCCTTACCTACATCTTCTCTGGAAACAGGAGCATTGTGACTCTCTAACCGTAGTCTAACTGGAACCCTATGCCTGACCCTGTGGTCAGGTCCACAGCCAGCAGAGGAAGTAGCATACTCAAAAAGTAACAATTACAAAATAGAAGCAAAATAACAGCAGCTTTAATGTCAAGTGCATGTACCAAGCTGTGTATGACAGTATATCCCACTTGCTAGTGTTATCCGGAAGTTTCATATTATTTCCTGGGATCGATTAGAACCACAGCCTGTCCGATTTCAACGTACCTTTTATTCTTCTGTATTCTCTTTCCTGTTATTCATTGTGTGTGTTTGTGTGTAACAAAGAATGTTTGCAAAATGCTGGACACATTTTTACCTTTCATTCCCATGGTCTGTAAAAAAGGAAAGTGTGAAACTAATCTGTAATGTCAGACAATAAAGACAATGTATTACACTATTTTGTATTTTGTGAAAAAAATTACTTGACTAGAGTCAAATCTGAAAGAGAGGTAGTCCCCCTGGGTAAAGGACGGACACATATAGCCTGTATTGTTGCCTGTAAAGCCACATACGGGGCATTGCTATTGTACTTCCAACACACTTAGATCATGCTAGAGAAAAATGCCTTGCTGTGCTAGCAGCTTCTCTTTGCAACAGCCTCTTTTCTTTCCTGTCTCTGACTTAGCATGTGCACAGAAAAAGGAAAAAAAGGCTCAAATGTAACCTTCTTCCACTTAGTGGAGAGAGAGGGCAATCATCCTCTAGTCAGTCAGCCTCGCTTGAGCCAGAGGACCCCTTTCCCGCCTCTTCCCAGGCCACCCGTTCTGGAAAGGCTCAGTGGACCAGTGGGTTCATGAATCCATGGCTGCCCAGAGCCAAAGCACAGCTGCAGGCGTAGAGCAGTATACTGCCTCCTTGCCTTCCAGCTCTTCCCACGGAGCCCTCCACGGCTCCGCGTCTTGGAGGCAGCCCTCAGTTGGGTCCTGCTGCAGGGGCTCTACAGGGCCCTCACTGGCAACACCCAGATGGCAGCAATGCACTCTCTGGGTGGGGAGACCATTTACTCGTCTTTACTCATTTGCTTTTTGCTTGTATACTCAAGCCTCTTCTCGAAAAGGACCCGAGGTAGCTTACAACAGACATCAACAATGGCTTCATAAAATAAATCCAGAAAAATCAGAAACGAAAGAAAAGAAAATGCCAATATGCTCATCGTAAGGGACAAGGGTGTGTCTCTGAGCTTTTTGGCGAGGAGACAAAAAAAAAAAAGGAAAACATATTTGGTGGTTTTATCAGAACCGAAATGCCAGTTCTCAAGGGACCAAAATTTCTGTTGGCATGAAATATAAGAAGGAAGTCTTCCCTCGGAGCTTTAGAGGAGGAGTGCTAAGTAATAAAACGGATAAATGCAGCCGCAGATGTCAAGTGGCTGATTATTATACTGACCTTCAGTCAAAATTAAAGACAGAACCCTGTCTGGCCCGATCCGGAGCAGGCTGTTCTACAAGGAAATGAACTTATGCCATCCAAATATATAGACTTCCTTCGGTATAACATGATCTAAGGAGAGAATTTAGAGGTTTTAGTCTGGCGTCTGCTTCTAAATTCTGTTTTTATTTATGAGCCTTACCCCTTTGGGGACATTCTCTTTGTAAAGTCAGATCTCAGACACTGCGCACAACAAATTGTGCTTGATTTAATAACGTCTACTTGCTTTATCATAAGTCTGTGTGGTTCAATGTATTTTACTATACTGGTATATATAATTCCTACTTATACTGTTTCTTGTTAGAGGTAACGCATGAATTTATTCCCCTTGAGGAGAGAACATGAATTTAAAAAAAAAATAGTGCCTGTAATATAATATGATGATTATGGTATCATAAGCAATAAATTTTTTTTACAAAACTTGCATCAAAATTATCCTACCCTCTTTCTTCTTTGTGTATTTTAAGATTTATTGAAGGAACCATAAAAAGAACACTCATAAAAAGTTTAATAATGAAGGCAGCTGGGGTGTAATTGCAGTTGACAGGATGTTTCAGAGTTTCTGGTAGACTTCCAGTGCCAAATATCACATCCCAATCTAAAACCAGATATCTCGGCTTTGAGTTCAGAATGTAAGGTCTCAATAAAAATTTTTGTAGAGAAACCGCTGGTGTTAGACCTGATTGTAGGGGGTCCCCGCTTTTCGCTCACACCTGTAAGATCTTGAGTAAGTCAATTGGCTTCCGGGAATTTATTTCAAACACACTGATAATACATGGCTCACGGGATTGTTGCATAGATTTTCAAAGATAATGGATGTGAAAGCACTTTGTAAAATACTATATGCATGTCAGAGACTGGTATAAAACTGCGTATAGATGTATACACATGCGTCCAACAATATGTGAACTTCTCTAACTGGACCCATATTTTACACACACGCATGTACACACACAAACACACACACATCCACTTCTCCTCCTTCCAGTTAACTAAGTGTCTCAGTCGGAGGAGGAAAGTGAAACTTTTCAAATCCTACCTCCTGCCCCCATTTTCTTCTCTCTTTACAACTGGAGGCCCTGTGAACTCAGGAAATCCTGGTCGCTCAGGTTCCCACTTCTCCCAAACACATTATAGAACATGAACAGGCCAGAAATGACAAGTTCTACCGGCATCAGTTCACCTTCCTTTTTTTCCCTTGCCCATTCTCTCTGGTGGGTATCCTGTGGAGAGTGGTGATGCAATCACAAGTGGGATAGGGGAGTGGGGGGGGGGGCACGGAATTCACCTCCTAAATAACCAACTGTGATATTAGGACTGACATCTAATGTTCAAAACATATCCTCTCAGACTCTCTCACTCTCTCACACAACCTTTTTTAAAATTAGGGATTAGTCCGTTAATTCTAGGAAAGTAAAAATTATTTCTCTACTTAAAAACCTGAGGCGATGACCTTCTAGTTCAGATTAAATCTAGCCCCTTTTATTGCATTAGAGACCCCCAAACCTGGCACCACCCCTCACCAGCCTCAGTCCCCTCCATTCCCCACAACGAACCTGGCTGGCACATCCACCATCCTGGCCTCCTCGCCCTTCCCTTTCCTTGCTCATGACACTCCAAGGCCTAGAATGTTCTTCTCTCCTTGCAATACATCCTCTCTTCTGCCCCGAAATCTCCACTATTAAGACCCAAGTCAAGTGATGCCTCCTGCCTGACCTGTCAGAATTAGTCACCTCACCTGTATCCCCACAGCGCGGTGGACACAGCAATCCCTACAGGGATAGTCAGTGAATGCGTATCAGAAGAAAGGATGATAAGAGGGTTGAACATAGCCAAACGCTGCTCTGCTGAACCTTCTCAGGCTGCTAAGGAAAACTAGGTGGACTGGGCTGTGTTCCCAGTCAAACCTGAGGCAGACAGACTTTTCAGTCAGGGGGAGGGTGTACACCCCTGTCTCATGGTCATCTGCTCAGCTGTGGCTCCAGGCACTGTTGCTTCAGCGATTACACATTTGGTCCTTTCCCTGAAACCTCCCTCGTTTCTGGTGCTGAGAGGAAACCAAAATGCTCCCTGGTAAAGAATCAGAAAAATGTATGGATCTTGTCAGACTTCTTAAAAATTGATACAACAGCAAGTTGAGTGGACTCCGAGGATGGAGTGCAGAAATGAATTTTTCATTTATTCGCTGGGAAGTGAGCTATTTTTAATATGATGTATGTTTTCCTTCTTCCATAAATCAACTCTCCTCTCAGGAATTTTAGATCTATATATTGATCTGCATGGACCATTGTCCCTTAAGTCTTCTCTCCATTAATCATCAAGTAATTTCCAGGAAAGGATGTTCACAGAGATTACTCCCTCTAACTCTTCTGAAGCTGTTAGCAGACAACCAGACTTCATGACCAGGCCAGAGGCTACCATCTACAGGGGTCACCACCTGAAAATGAAACCCAGTGATATCTCCACTGATCTACCCCAATGCCAAGAGGCAACTGCCCTTTCCTAGTGACCTTAGAGAAAGAGCCGGAAGGAAGGCCAGAGATGACATTCCCAGTGGTAGGTCCCAGGAAGTGCATCAAACTGGACAAAGAGACATGATCAGCCAGGGAGCCAGGGCCTTCCCCTCCCCAGAGTCTGGTCATGCTGTGGGCGTTGGGAGTTGCAGGGAAGATGCCACTGAATCTTGTCTCCAGCACAGAATCTCCACTTAAATTCTTCACATAATCAGACTGCTTGAAATTGCACCAATAAGAGATTCATTTAGGAGATGGTTGCTATCCATCATTTACACACTGGTGTAATTTAGATTCAGTCCGTTGTTTTTCCCTTAACACATAACTACAGTCAATTATTTTTCTCTTAACACAGAACCACTAATAGGGATTTTGAAGGAAGGAAGCAGGCAGAGAGAAGTGGGGAAAGTTGGTTTTGGAGACCAGGCATCATTAAGCAGAGCGTTAGGACTGGGAATGCCTCTAACACAGTTAGTGGGAGAGCTCAGGGCGTGAGAAGGGGAAAGAATCGCCGGAGGTAAGAGACTTACAAACAGGAAGGTTAGAAGGGCCAGGTTAGTGCCCAAAGGGGAGGAGGCAGCCCCGCGGGCACCCTGTACTGGAGAGCCTGACGGAACAGGTGCAAGCAGCTCCAGGATAGCCATTAAAATACTGAAACGCACACCACAGCCCCCATCTGAAAACACTGGCTCCAGATATGTCCCAGGATTCAGAACCTCAATTTGCAGATAAGAGATTTGCACCTGCATTTCTATAGCAATTGATAAAACAGCCCACAGGCTCTTCCACCCCTGGGGCGCTCATACTGCACCCCATGACCCGGGCAACTGAAAGGTATTGTCCAGCCCAGCCAGAGCCCTAGGTGCTACTCCAACACCACTCACTGGTGGGTCCAGGTCCTGCACCTTCTCAGCCTTCAGGCTGCTAAACCTTTCTCCGTTAGTGAAGCCTGTGATGGGTGGTCACAGTGGCTTCGGTCCTCAGAAGCGGCTGTGAGGCTGTCGGAAAGCCCCAGGCTTGTAGACGAAAGGCTGGGAATCCACTTTGTTTCTGCCAATCTCTAGCTCAGAGGTAACCCAATTATCACCTCTGAGCCTCAGTTGGCTAACCTGAAAAATGGGAATATAATACTTCATATGGTTGCTAAGAGGATTAAATGAAATAGTTGGGGTTAAATTGCTTTATAGACTGCAAATTGCTATTCAAATATAAGGAACTATCGTTCCTAGCACCAATTATGAGGAGAATGAAACCAAACAATGTATGTAGAAGTGCTTTGGCCCCTGCAAGTTACATATAAAAGTACAGTTGTATTATTATTATTATTATGAACCTCCTACCCCAGAAGAGGGTCTGGCTCCCCAGAGTTGAGAGGGTAAACCAGCTGTGTAGGCAAGAAGAGCCTCCTTCCTTCAACTGTCCGACTTCCCCTCCCAGTCCCTCCTCCCTGCTTGTGTGACTGGTCTCTGCAGAAAAGGACAGGTAAGAAAGAGCAAGGAGCCCTGCCTAGAGAATGGTGCACAGGAGGGGTTCCCAGGGGGAAGCAGCCCTCAGGGCAGCAGAACTCCTTTGAGGGACCCTCAGCAGCCCAAACCCAGCCAGATCCCTGCAGCCCGGGGCAGCCAGAGCATCTGTGCTCAGACCCCAGCCCAGGCTCTCCCGCTCCACCTCCCGAGCAATCCTTTTTACCTCTCTGAGCATTGCGATCCACACTTGCACATTTGGAGTAATGATGCCTATTTCAGTGGGTTGTGGAGAGAAATCAATGGGGAGGCTCATGAAAACCCTTCTACCTGGCAAAGCACGATGCAAAAGTGAAGTCATTTCTTATCGGCATGGGGAGCAGGGGGATGCCATGGTAGCTCAACAGAGGTTTCGTGGTTAATGAGACTGAGCTGGCAAAGTCTGCCAGGGAAAACCAGACCCATCCTTGAGCAGGCTGGGCCAACAGGCTGCCAAGCATCACACCAGCAGGCAAACTGCTCTTCCTTGGGCCCGGACAGACCATTCAAGGTACCGTTGAGAGTGAAGGAGTGGCACCCCCAGGCCATTGGTCATCACATGAGTTCTTTGCTCTGCTCTGTTTTGCCTCGTTTTTAATTCTAGATTTTTCTCAATACATAGATTTGACTTTTATGTGTGATGCTGAGCCCCAGAAAGCTAACAGCATGGCATTTTACAGGATTGATGTTGTGTGTTTTAACTGCAAGCAGAGACCCCACAGCAAGTCTAAATCGAATACTCCAGAGCACTGCTCTCATGGGTTTGAATGGGTTGATGCTGAATCTCTGGGCCTTGCTATGGAAGAGTCCTCCCTCTCCCTGGCCAGACCCAACAGACAAATGGAGTTTATGTGAACACCCAATCTTTGAATATGCACCTGAGGGTTGCATTGCATTTCCTTACTCATGACTGGCTTCCTTTGTAAACTAATTATTATAACATGGAAAATCTTCCCAAGAAACTTCATTGTAGAGACAAAGCTGTGAAATTCAAGGTGTGAATGGTTTCATGCCTAGAACTGTAATGCAGACAGAAATGGCTTTTAGTTGTTTTCTACTTTTTTCTTCACTCGCTTTTAAATCTCCCTGTTCTCATTGCTAAAATAACTGCTTTTTCATAGACGAAGAGAAGGACATTCCCTATAGGAAATGTAGCCAAAAATCCCTACAGTAGCCAAAAATTAGAAACGAAGAGTTTTTCTCTCTTCCCCATCTGAATCCCTGAGTCACAGAGCAATTTGACGAAGTGAACTTTTACCAAAAAGTGGGGATGAAACAATTTATACCTCATTTGATTCTTTGAGACTCAATATGCACAATATTACATGGCATGATCTGGCCTATAAACTATCCTCTAAAGATTATGCCAGGACAGAGAGGTTGAAAATTTAGGAATTACACAAACCACATCCATCCCCAATAGTCTCCTAGTTTATATTTCAAACTTTGTCCTGAAATGTCTTTTTATTCTATGCAGAACTTCCCTGGAGGAAGAAACAGACACACCTTGTAATTCTCACTGCCTAACAGTAGCCTCATTACTTGGGCACACATGTCATGTACCATAGAACAGTGCTCTACTAATATTCTTAACTCTCAACATGTAACCAAAACTCCAGATTATAGACAACGAGGTCCTGAATTATCTACACCTGCAACTTAGGTTTAGGATTACCATCTCCATTACCCAGGACGTCCTCCTGCTTGGGAACCTCACTGTTACTGTTTTTAACATTTGGGAAGCTTTGGGAAAACACATTAATGGCTTGCGTTGTCTCTCCAGACGCAGGGGGCAGGTTCTCCTCGCTCCTCCCCCAGCCACACCATCAGCAGGCCCATCCCCATGCCGGTGCGCTCCGCGTCTGCCTGCTCCAGCCCGTCGCACACGCCTCAGGACTCCCTCACGGGGGTCGGGGGAGACGTTCAGGAGGCCTTTGCGCAAAGTAAGTGGGGGCACTGGTGGGTGTGTTCTGCTTCTCTACGCCGCAGATAGGAGCCCGCCGTGTGCTGGGCGGTTAGAGGTCATCCTCGGAGCCACAGTGTGGATATGCCAGCGTAGGCCTTGGTCACACTGGTCTGGAAACTCCTTAGGCTGATGTGTTTCTCACTTCACCTTCTTCTTCCTTCGGCTTCTCCAACCCGGCTCCATTTTTTATGAGTCTTTGCTCATCATGAAGGGAAGGGAAATCCTTCCACCAATATCCCAGGAACCTTTATAAATGATCTTATTTCCTGCTTTCTTCCCTTGATGGTAAAGCAAACTTAAGACTGAGGTTAAACGGTCCCAGCTGAAGTGGGATGTAGCCCTGCGGTGATCAAGCAGGGCGCTTCGCCATTTTACAGCTGCCGTCAAGAGTTGAGTCATTGCCTCCGCAACGTGGGGCCACGGGGGGCGGGGGGGGGGTTCAGCCTCCGTAGTTAAGGGAGGAGCACAAAGAGTGATAAATAGAACAGTGTTCTCCCCCCTGCTGCCTTTTCCATTCACACACCACGGGTGGGGGGGAGGGGGGTCCTCAAGGCCAATGAGTTTGTTCATTTGGAAGTATTTTAACCCTTTTGAAACTTTTTCTTGCCATCGCTTTTTATATCTGTAGAAAGTTCAAAAAAAAAATCCTCCTGCAGACCCTCACCCTGCCAGTCTCATTCCCAAATTATTAAACAGTTTGGTCCTTCTCAACTTTTCCTTTATACATAAGTATATATGTTTACGTGTGTTTTTATAAACACCTACCTTCTTTTCCACACAAACGAGGCCATGCATTGCATTGTGGTCTGCAATTTGCATTTTCTTTAAGTTAGCAATATATCATGAACATCCTTCCAGGTCCTCACATACAGATCTAAGGAAAGGGGAGATATATTCGATTACCAGTTTTAAGGCAAAAATAAATAAATAATAAGTAACTGAAGTCAAAAGACAAAAAATAGGCCGAGGAAAACATTTCCAGTGTATGTGGCAATCAAGTTTCACAATTTCAGCTACACGTCAAGCATATAGAGATCAATAAGAAAAAGTCCCAAAACAGAAACAGGTAAAGGATATGGACAGAAGAAGTGCTATAAATTGCCAATAAAGATATAAAAAGATGTCCAATCTCACAAACTGTTGTAGAAATACAAATATCACCTCTCGCCTAGCAGATTAAAAAAAAAAGTTCAACATTAGTAATAGGCAGAGATAGCAAGAGTGTGAGGAAAGAGACACTCTCATGCATTGTGTATGGGGATAGAATCTTACATTTTAAAGGAAGAGAATGATGTACTCTCTGCTCTGAGGGAGAGGGAAAGATCCATAAGAGGCCTTTTTCTTCTGAGAAAGAAAATAAGTTATACAAAATAACCTTTTTTTAATTTTTAGAAGAAAACAATGTCCTTTCTCTAATCATCTTGAAGAAATTTACAGTATTTTTAATCAAATTGAGCTTTCAGTTGTCATTGTTTTATCTGACTACTTTGTTTAATTTACATGTATTTATTATTTTACTTACTGAGGTTTATTTTCTGAGAAATTACAGGATGAACCGTCACAGCTTAGGGGCAGCTCCTAGCTCCCAAAGAACTCATGCTACATGAGTTCAGCGGCAAGTGAGGTGTTTGGAATCTTGAGCCGTTTTTCTCCAAGATGTTAGGTGTTACCTCACACCCAAGCCAGCCCACAGATACCCATTTAACCCTTTGTGTGCCTGAAACATCATTGTAATCTTAGTCTACCACGGAGAACCATAGTCTGAGTTGCAATTCAGAGTACAGGGCGTACATCTTCTGCCATGGTCTCGCATCAGGTGCAAGAATCCCCACCCCTGTCCCACGCTCTGGGGCATTCAGTGCGTAGCGTTCCCACTCCCCAGAGATAGCTACAATGGTAGGGGAACTCTGGGAACCCTGATGAGAGTCAGAGGCTGTGGTGATGGAGATCAGGATCCCAGGTGCTCAGCTGCCGGGTCGTGGCTGAAACTAACAGCAGCTAGCAAGGTGCAGCTCTCCAGGCAAAAGCAGACTTTACGTCTGTGTGAGTTTTCCTACAAAAAGGTGGCCATAGATCCTAGTTGGCCTGGGACCATCCCACTTTGTGCCAGGTCACCTAGTTTTATTATCATGCCACCCCCTTTCCTCACAAACTTGTCCCGATTTGTACAATAAATTAAATGAACCCCTCCCTCATCAGTGGCCACTGCCCTAAGTACAATGTATTGTTTCAGAAAATGAGCCAAAGCACTTCTGAAAAGAAGTCTTAGAAGTTTTCTTGCTTCAGGATTATCAATGTAAATGATAAACTAAATAAAAAGGAAAAGCTGTGATTTTTTTTTTAATTATCATTTCTTCTTCACTCAAGGTTCAAGAAGAAATTTAAGGAATGACTTACTAGTAGCAGCAGATTCCATCACTAACACCATGTCCTCTCTCGTGAAAGAGCTGAATTCCGGTGAGTCCCCAGTCCCCTATTTGTCTGCTCATTGCAGAGGGACCCACAAGTGCTAGGGGCCTTTGTTAGAGATCTCCTCATTGTCAAGTAGAAAAAGATATTTTAAAGATCGATGTGATATTTAATTGGTATATTCAGATTTTTTAGTACTATTTTTTTTGCTGATTGGAAGACTATTAATACATGGTCAATGCAGAAAGTTTGAAAAATGCAGAGAGGAGTAAAGAAATATACTAAAATTGACTTGCAATTCTAGTTTTTGTAATATCTAGTATTTGTAACTTGTAATATGATCCAAAGTGACATGATGCTAAAGTTATTTTATAAAGTCAAATGTTTTATTTACTCATTTAAACTCTGTTCATTTGAAATGCACAGCTATTTGAATGAGGCTAAGTTGAAATTTACCTTTGCAATATGTCCAAAGAAAGATCTGCCCAGAAAATAGAGAGCATGACATTGAGAGGGACTCTTTATTCTAATAATACTACACAGTTTTTAAAACTTTAACAGCATGAATATGCAAATAAATATCTTACCAGTTACTAATACATCTCATCTGTTCCTTAAGCCCACCTAGCAAGATACTTGTCTGACAGTCACAAAGTTTGAGATTAAACAATTGTAAGAAAAAAAAGTCAATATTAAAAAAAAATCTGGATTTAAGTTTCTTAAAGCCTCTATAATAAGAATTAAAGTAATGAAAATTGTTGCTGCTAGTCTAAATGAAGATTACCAAGTAGGATAAAAATGGCAGTAGTTAATACATATTGACTAATGGAGTATACCCACTGCCCTAGCACATGATGACTAAAATGTTATTCTCATTGTGGAAGCTTCAAATACTATTAGTTTATATTCACAATACTTTGAGGTGTTAAGTGAATGTAATATTTTAGGTTTGTATTTCCTAAATTCAAGTAATATTAAGCAAAAGTAAGAGCAGTTCTCGTGAAGACTTTTGTAGAAGGGGCAAAACAGAAGTATTAGGAAATTAAGTCAGTCAAGACACAAAAACTCCTCAGTATGATTGAGACTCAAAAAAGACAATACTGTATACCAAATGGTTTTCTAGAAATTCATGTCAGTATCAAATGTCATCTTGGAAAAAAATAATAATAAACTCACCTGACTTATGTGCTATAACTGGTTAATGTTTTCCACAGCACAGGTTGACTTATGTTAAGCTCAGCCCCTTATTTGCCAATCTTAAAAAAAATCTAAGTCATTCTCCATTTCTTCAATCGTACCTAATAGAGGTGGGGAGTGAAACAGAGAGTAACGTGGATTCTGAATTTACACGGACTCAGTTTGAGGATCTGGTTCCATCGCCAACCTCTGAGAAGGCTTTTCTAGTGCAAATCCACGCCCGAAAACCTGGGTACCTCCACGGCGGTGCCACCCCCAGCACCATGCGCAGTGACATGTGAGTATCCTCGGCTGGGGACCTTGCTCAGTAACACAACACTCTGTAGGGAAGATAGGAAAATAGTAACATGGTTGGTTCCGTTCTTTAATTCGGAATGGGATGGTGCAGTTTCCTTTTCTGCCAGAAGAGGTAGAAGGGTGCTACATTAAATTTGGTGTTGGGACTTTTCCTCCCCTCACTATATCAAGAATAGCAATCACGAAAACCACCTGGTGCTTGTTGAGAGCCTGGCGCACCCAAGGCACGGTGCTAGTTGTATACAAAACAGTATCAAAAAATCACTCTCTGCCTTCGGGACTCACAGACTCGTTCAGGAGATAAATCATGCTATCTTCTAAGTGTACTGTATTTGCCCTTAGAGGACCAGGTGATGCTAGAGAGGCCTCTATTCAGAATGGGTGTAAACAACATTATATAAGCACTTGGAACTGAAATCAGTAAATGTCTAAAACCTCATTATAAAGAAATCCAATCTGGTTGGCTTGTTGAGTACGTATAAATCTGACCTTTGAAAGGCATTTTGCAAAGATTTTCATCCAATTAGGCTTCTGTAGCTTGACAGAAAGCAGCAGAATCAGTGACCTCCCCCCTAGATTTATCCGTGTCCCTGGATCAGCTCAAACTCCAAGGAGACAGGCCTCGGAAACCAAAGCGGAGAAGCAAAGGGGGAGGAGCTGGGACAGACCTGCTGAGCCCAGCTTGGGTGGGGAGGAAGGCAGGGAAGCAAAGGAGCCTTCAAAAGAGTGGGGCTCATGCAGCAGTGGGAAACGTGGGCAGAGAGGCTCACCAGAGGGTTGCAAAGGGGTCCACTGAGCATTACAAACTAGGAAGGTGATGGTGCTTAACGTGAAAAATGCTGCAGACTAGTTACAAAAATAAACTGGCCATTTTCAGGACCCAAAGAAGAAACTAACCAGAGGCCTTTCGGGTGTTGTTGGATCTCAATCCAAGTAGTGAGTAGACCAATAATAATGAGGACCTATAAATAGATGTGGTTTGAAAGCGGGTGGTGAAAAGGCAGGCCAAGAGATCCAAACAAAACAGTTCTGACATAATTTTAAATAGCAGTAGGCTGCCACTTTTAATTTTAGTTTGCTTTCTTGTCGTTTCCTCTATAATTTAGAATTATTTGACTTGTTTTATATTCAAAATGGTGAATTAATTGTTGTCAGTTTAGTCTGGTAAGTAACATATCTGTCTGACTTTTCGTAATGAAGCATTTACATGTGGTCACCTAAAATTTTCTTGTTCTAATCCAAAAATCCAAGACTGTAGCTAAATCTACCCCACTCCGCTGTCCCCCGCATGCTGGTGACAGTGCCAGCTACCAACAGGCTGAAGGAATTGGGAAGGGAAAGTTGCCTTGCAGACCTATTTAGGCTGGCCCCAAACCTCTAAAAATAACGAGAACATGTTGTACAGATATAAATAAACATGAACAATGGCATTTAAGTTCCAACCCAGAAACTTCTACTTGACCACTCTCTTCACTTTAGGGGATGTCTTAATATCTGTACTATCTAAACAGATACTGGGTTTTACTCTGAGAATATTTTAGTCCTATGATTTAGGTAGTGAATTTATGTTTAGTCTCAGGAAGGGTTTTTATAAACTGTGGGATGGATAGATTCAAATAGAGTCACACATTAGTGAATGAGATCATTCTTCTCTATTTATCTCATGATAGAATTGAACAAGTTGAGTGGATTTCTTAGATTAACTAGTATAAATTTTTAAGATCAAGAGCCATGGGTTCAAGTATTACCTTCCTGACAGCCATGAGCTGATATTCTAAGACTTATTCTACTGTAAAAATAAAGTACATGGGTGCACATCCCTACATATGTGCCTAACACAAAGGGGGGGTAAATTATGAACAAATGTCCTTAATCATCATTTCACTAGAGGGCTCACTTTCCTTATAGAAAGTGTTCTTGGATTCCATTAAAAAAAAAAAAAAAGCCCAGAGATTGGGAAAATGATATCCTCTCAAAAGATAAGACTGCTTCTTTTAAGATTGACAAACTCTTTAAAGGCAATTCATTCCTGTAAACCAGAGGAAAACACAGATGACCAATGATATCAGACTGCCATAGAAAAATTACATATGAGAATTTCTTGATCATCTATTTCTCCAAACTTCCAAAGGTTTTTTTTTGTTTGTTTTTGTTTTTGTTTTTTTAATTTTCTGTTAGGTAACAGAAGACCTTGAATTGAAGTGAATTGAAGCCAAGAAGCAAATTAGGGCACTCAGTAAATGGGACCCAAAACCACAGCTAACACATGAATTCTACTCCTACCTTTAAGATTTGCTCCCAAACACCATTTGTGGTCTGTTCCCAGGGCCTCAGAAGATGGGGACCCCTACGTGCGGCCAGAGGATGAGAACTATGAAAATGACTCAGTCCGGCAGCTGGAGAACGAGCTCAAGATGGAGGAGTATCTGAAACAGAAGCTGCAGGATGAAGCCTACCAGGTATGGGGAGCCAGGCCCCACCCCTTGGTAGCTGGGTCTTTTACATTACTCAGAAAATCCATGCCTTCTCCTTTCTTCTACCCTCCCTCTCCAGAATATTCTGATTGCATTCCTTACTCCACATATTCTAGACAGTTGTAAAAATTGTAAATACTTCTTAGAGCTATGCCTCTCACCATGAATTCTTGGAAATTCTGATCTGGTAAGTGAGAAAGACCGTGTCCCTTTAGGGGAAATGTGGTGACCAACAATCTATACTCTTCCAATTTCAATGGGAAAGATACGTTTTCTCATAGATAAAAAATAAATAAAAATAAATTTTAGAAAAAGATACAGAGAACAAGGCCCAAGGAAACTGAATAAGTATAAATATATCTCTTCCCTTGAATCATTTTGTCTTCATCCTCCTTCACTGCCCACCTCATGTCAAAATAAATAAGTAGGAGAGTATCAAATCTCACCAAGAAAGGTATGAGGAACTGTAAGCCCCGCATTCAGCAGGGTATGGATGGACAGATTTTCATATATACTGGAGTGTATTATTAATCCAGCTGAGAATTCACCAAACATAACACATTCAACTGGGAATAAGTGTAATTAGTAAGTCATCCTAAAGGGGATGCATTTTCCCCATGGAGATTTTTCTACTGCCCTGTTGGTCTTGTTTGTATGTTTCTCTTCCCTGTAATTCACAGGTGTTTTCTTGAGGTTCTGGGAGCTCAGGGATGTTCGCCTGGTTGAGACCTACTGCCCCAACCCCCAGGCCCCATGGGATATTTCTTCATGTCGGTCTTTCTGTCCAATGGCCAGACAAGCTTCCTCCACATTCTTAGACGAGCAGTGGCCCTCTCTTACTCCCATTAGTGAAGGAAAGAGAAGCAGAGTGAATACATTACCTCTACTTCTCATATGTGTACAGATTGTTTTGAAATATTTTCCCAAGAAGAATGTAGCAAGAAAGAAACTGAAGCCTACCAACCCCACCCCAACAATATAAAACAAAAGTTTGGCCTCTTTGGAATGTTCCATTAGCCTTTTCGGTTTAACAACCATATTTCAGAAGCAACTGAAATGTAGGCCTCGTCATACCCCACCCCCACCCCCCAAAAAAGAAAAAAAATCAGTGACTATATATGTAAAGCCATGCTTCAACACTGCAAAAACAGTCACAGTTGCCTGAAGTGGAGAACCATGGAGAATGCTCTTATTTTGCCACTCCTGTGGCCTGTCCACGGAAGGAAATTAGCCTGGATGAAGCTGCCAGGGTGTCTCTGGGAACTCTAAGGGATGGCATTCCGACATGCATTTCATTGGGCTCTGCTGCCTAGAGGGAGAGAGAGATGTGGTGAAATAATCAATGTTCTGGTTCATGCTGTTAGGGGCGCCTGTTAGGCCTCCCTCTTCGAACCCATATCAGTTTCTGGATGTTGGTGACAATAGTAACTGAAATTCTAGATTTTTTTTTAAAGGGAAACCATCATTTCATATAAAATATTAGGTTTGTATTTATTTTAATGAATTAGGAATTTAACCTTATGTGAGTAAAATGAAGGGAAATTCTATTAAAAGCTTAAGATGCAGTTGGAGTTTTTGCCATCTCTGGTTAATCTTAAGCTCTTTCCCTCCTTTCCTTTCCATGCCCAGTGACTTCAAGGGAAAAGTAGACAAGGTATAGGAGACCACAGTAAGCCTGTGTGTCCCCACTCAAGGCATATGCCCTAGAGAACGTTGAAGTGACTCCTTGAGTACTCTGTGAGTGTATGGTTGCTTGATGGGTCAGAATGCTGTTTTCATTCATCGGACTCTCTCGCTCTCTGTCCTTCTGCATGGCTTCCAACCAAATAATTCACGAGCTTGACTGCCTCACGGACTTGACATGTCACCTTTCTTGTTTGTGTCCTTTGTCACCCGCAGGTCAGCTTGCAAGGTTGAATACAATATCCTTTTATCACTCTCCTCTCAAGTAAGTACCGTCTTATTTAGGAGGAAACGTGCCCACTGTACACTGAAGTCTGATAACTAGTAACCTAAATTCACAATCACTCTCTCTTAGGTTGTTTCTGTGTTCTATGTGATAAATATCCTCCTTCCCTCCTGATATCAAAGAATCATCCCGGCCTATGGAGCATTTCATTATAACCCAGTGGAGATTTGGCAGACAACCTCGGGAATTGACTTTTTACTCTATTAATTAGGAAAATTGGCATAGAAATGTCTGTAATGCCAGAGCTGCCCCAGAGTGGTGCCTGTGGTGCCTCATCACCAGTCCCTAACAGCATCTGAGTTTGCAGCCTCTCTATCACATGAGAAAGAAAAGTCCAGGCATGCTCAGCACATGCAGGGATGGGCGAGCCTCAGAGGCATGCTGTATTCGGGACCCAGAGATCAAATGTGTACACCTCAACGAGTGAAGGCAAAACCATGTATTATTAAAGAAAACAAAAGAAGCAGAACAGAGAGGACAACTTCGGCAGCCTTATACTTTTGGAACAGCTGATTCAAATTCTTTGTGGAATTCAGCAAGATACGGTTTAATTTAAAATATCATTTACGTGGCATGTGATTCCCCACCCCCAGGGACCTACCAGCATACATGGAAGGGCCTCAGTCATGTGTTTAATGTAGAGAGAATAGCACTTGACTGGCAGGACCCCTGGGCGGTAGCGGTCTAGAGCTCAGACGCTGGACTCTGGCAGACCTAATTTCAAATAGGAGTTCCACCAAATCGTGGTCGCATAACCCTGACAAATGATTAAGCCCCTCTGAACTTCTGTTCCCTCTGCACAACGTGCATCATAATACTTACCTCATAGTGGAGTTGTCCTCACTGGGATGTAGTTTATAAAGAGCTTAACATGGTGGCAAACACACCATAATTTATGATAAGCCCACACATACGTGCCTGGCACTGTGCTCAGTGCTTTGCAAGCGATTCAGTCCTGGGGAGCTGCTGGACTTATTATGTAAGTGTATGGGGAACCCTACCCCCACCCCCCAGGACTCGGAACTAGCTTGCTCTCTGTATTTTTATAGACAAAGCTAAGGACTCAGCTATGTGTAATGATTTTATACACTTTTGGCTACACTGTCTCTTAAGTCTAGATGGGGTCTCTGGCTCCGGCTGATGGCCATTTGGCTGTCCCCCATTACGGTTCCGAGTAAATACACCTTTCCGAGTCTCTGGCTGTAGGGGCCCGAGGATTTGTATCTCCTTCAGTGATACGGTCTTTCCCAGCCATGGACTCCCAGAAGTCTATAGTACAGCTGGTAGTAAAGTCAACTCGCTGCTGAATTTAAAAAGGGATCTATTTCTCTTAAATGACAAATCAACTTGCAAAGAAAACATCCTCACTCATGCATTACTGACCTCCTGTCTCAGTTCTCAGGTTAGGATTAAGCAAGCAGAAATCATGGCATAACTGCTATTATGAAATATACGAGCTCTGAAGCCCTTTTGGTGTGAAAAGAAGGATGTGACTGTATTCTAGTCTCCCTCCCTTGCATTTGAGAATGCCACAGCACACGCTCTCCTGAATCATGATGAGCACAGTAGAAACAAGTCCCAGGAGCTGTTTCTGAAAACATCTACTCCCATTATAACAAATCTAGTCCCAAAGGAGCAAGCCTCTCCTTTCACAGCATTTTCTTTCTCTTCATGCCAGCAACTGGATCATTTTTATTCTGCACATTATTTAACCATCAGTCACTAGTTCTTAGAAAAATATTTTCTTAAACAAACTAATGAAATGTCCTTGACATAAACTCAGATAAGAAGTGGCATTTGGTTCTTCTACATAAAAGCCAAAGATTTCAGTGCTCTAAAAGTTCTTCGGCCACTGTTTTCAACTTTTGTTGTCAATTTGACAGTGGAAAATTGAAACCGTTGTGGCCTCTGCCATTTACTACATCATATACCTACCGAGCTGGTGTTCCACAGGACTCTACATGTGAACTAGCCTGTCATGAAATCAGCCACTTAGGCAAAATGTATTTAAAACTTTACGGATCAATCCAGAAGCCAGTGGCTTTTCATCTTTTCAGCTAGTTCTATCCTAGTATAATTTTTCTCGATGTAGCTGAGAGATAGAGCTGAAATCTTGGAACAGTTTATGCTATTGAAATCGATTTGTTTGGGTTTTCTGACCCAAACAAGACCAGAAATTGCCCCAAAGCTGTGCATCTCTTATCCAAGGGTCTGGAAGCCAACTTCATTGCTGCAAGTCAGTTAGGTGTCCACCAGGGCAGAGGGTGGGACCCCAGAGAAATAGAAGACCCACTCTCTGCTCAAAAAGAGCTATTTGAAGATAAGTATGCACTCACTGATACTAACAGGAGTGAACAGAGTAAAACCTTGCCTCTCAACTAGCCTCTTTGGAAGAAATGCAGTCTATGTAATATTTAACTCTCAACTTAAGAATCCACCAAAACTCCATTTGGCAGACTCAAATCTTGGATTCATCCCTTTTCCATCCCTCTCCCCACATGGTACACCACTCTCCTTAGCCAGCCACATCCTAACTTCAGAAATGGGGGGCTTGGACAATCAAAAGTGGATTTTTTTTTTCTAATTACCATGGCATTTCGATGGTAGGTTAGTGTTTTCATCTGCTTGTCAGGTGAGGACAGCACAAACATTTCTGTTTGCATTGCTTTAACCCTCCAGATGCCTCAGGTACCCATTAAGCCAGGGACCCAACGGAGAGGATGCCCATCTTCTCTTTCAGAAAGAGCAATAGCATACCATGTCCCAGGACATTTGCTCCCTATTGTCAGAGGAAGGGAGGAGAGAGAGAGAGAGAGTGTGTGAATATATGTGTGTCGGGGGGCTGGGGGAATCCTAAATTTTGAAACCCTAATTTAGAGAACAGTTTTCATCTTTAAAAAAAAAACTACACATTCCTTATTCCCAGGCAAGCTATAGTCAGACAGATGATGAAGGTAACACGCAAGCTGGTGATGAAGGAGAGCCCCGCACCCACCCCCGCAGAGGAGAAGACACCGGCCCAGGAGCAGCCTCAGCGCCCAGAGGTGCCGGCCCGCACAGCAGCTCCTGACAGACCCCCACCCTTAGAGATGCGCTCTGCCGACTGTAGTGCAGTTGACTTTTCGTTCTAAGATTAGTAGTTTGTAGGTGTGTGTTTTGCGAAGGAAAAAACAAAAAGACTTCTGACTCCTGTTCGAAGCTAACTTATCAGCTACATCTTCTGTAACATGGCTCATCCCTGATTAGAAACAAAAACGGCAACCACCACCACACATACACAGGGAAAGGAAAACCCACAGGCTGAAAACCCACACTGCTCTTACTCACGATGGCAGTATTAACAAGCATTTTAAGCCTTTGCACATGCTATTGAACCTGTTCCGTTTACAATGACAATATTAATACTGTTTGTAGCTAGATGTTTGATTTCTGAATTCTTTGAGATTTTAGCAAACCAGTTTATTATACACTGTACATTTTTTTTTCCACAGCAATTGGAAAAAAACAACCACTTGCAATTATTCACTAACCCCGAAGGATTTGGTACCTGAGTGTACAAACTCAGAGCCCGGAAGCCAAGAAGGGTCCTTGGCCTGCACTGTCTGCATTTGTCTCTAAGTCTCTGTGAGCAGTGACTTGAACCAATCACACCAGGATAATCCAGCCTTTGGGGCTTCTTTCCAACTTGGGGTTGTTTTCTTTCAAGATACTCTAACAAATCAGCCATAGAATTTAGTGTAAATATTTTTTCCAAATAGATATCATATTCAAAAAGAAAAAAAAAAGGCAACATTCAAATGATATAGAATCTAGTTTTTAAAATCAGCACAGATCTTCTTAAAAACTGTGAACTATGTTTTGAAATACTCGTTGCTAAAGCTATTTATAAACCACAGGTGCCATAAGATCCCCAAACGGACTCAAGTTATCTCTGCTCTCCCATGGGCGCGTCCGTCTCGTTTTAGCTTTAGGGAGCATGTCTAACCACACCACTCGTCCACAGCTTCCCCTATCAGGTTGTCTAGAGGCCTTCAGCTTTAAATGTACAGGCTTAAAGTGTGCTTGCAAACACTCCCTCTCCTTTTATTTCTGAATGTTTATTGCCTTAGCTGGCTACCTGGTGTTCTGCATGCAGCCTTCTGTGGTCATGGGAGAGGAAATGGGCTCTTCTAAGTGGCGTTGGGATTTTGCACTCAGCGAAAAGCTGATGTGCAAAAGCACGGTCAAAGAAGGAAGAATGAAAGCCTCTGTGGATGGTCCTTTATAAGGGCCCTTGTTGGGGAGCATTAAAGACCTCCCTTAGGGAGTCTGGGGAAATGAAAACATAATCTACTTGGTGCAAGACTGGATGAAATAAAAATCCGGCAACATATTGAATATGTTATACTTAAATTGGCAGCTTCTCTGGAATTCCTATCTCCTTTAAAAGAAAGGCGAGGACATCGTTTTAGAACAGTGGCCCTCAAAGCGTGTGTCCTGGACCAGCAGCATCAGCATCACTTTGGGAATTTATTTAGAAATGCAAATTCTTAAACCCCAACCCGGGCCTGCTGAATCAGAAACTCTGGGGATTGGGCCCAGCCATCTGTGCTTTAATAGGCCCTCCAGGTGATTCCTGATGCATGCTAAAGGTTGAGAACCACGGCTTTGGAATAAAGTTGCATATAAAATCTCTAAAAAGGCCTTATTCCGAATAAGCAAGAAAGGCTCCAAGTCAAGCTCAAAGCTTCAGCAATTCGATTTTGCTTCCGGGGCTGGCAGAAACCTTCTCCCACCCCCACGTAGTTTGTGGTTGGTGTGTGCCCAGCTGAGAACAGACATCCTGACACCTTCCAGGTCCCTCTCCAGAGGGCTCTGAGTTGGTAGTGTCTCTGCATCTGGTCAGAAACCATGTCCTTGTCTGCCCTTTGGAACAAATCACTTGCCTCGGGGATAGCAAAGCTCTCAGTTGGCATTAGTAGGAAGCCCATTCTGTCCGTTGATGCGCTTCTTCATACTTCCCCAGAGAAGCAGCCTGACAAATGTCCCTGAGAGCAGGCTGACACCAAAGGGGCACAACTGCACAGTTCTCAGATTTCTCTGCACAGATGGATTTGATTATGAGTTTTGTTGGTTTATCTTAATGTTCATCTCCTTTCCACTGCCCCTCATCTGTGAAACCATACCTCTCTAGATGGGGCAGGTGGCCCCTCGTGCCTCATACTCAGTACTTAAAACCACTCCATGCCAGCTACCTACATTGCTGTCAGCTCTAACTCATAGCCAGGTAGTTCCGGGACTCGGAACTCGGATCCTGCAAGTGGCATTCAGCCCCTGACTGGACTGAGCTGACATCTGTTGTCACTCTCTGTCTCTGCATCAGAACACTTGTCTAAGGTTTGAGCCGTTTTGCTGATAACCGTCCCCCTTGTCGTAGTTTTCATTGCCAACTCCGTGACACGGTTGTTGATAGCATGGTACAAGCCGTTGCAAGGACTCCGGAAAGTACCGCCAGTGACCAGTTCATGACTAACCAGCCACCTTTTCTTTCCCTTAGCTCCACGTCAGCACTGAGACCAGACTCAAGCACCCCTGTCCTGTAACCGAGACAAAATGGCGTATATTGTTTTGGGGGTTTGTGCTTTTGGGGGGGTTTCTTTCCTTGGCCCTCCAAATTTACTTTTGGGACCTGTTCTAAGTGCAAACCCAGCAGGTTTCACCTGTCCCATCCAGGAGATACAGTTACATCTTGCGGGGATTATTTCTTTCTTGTTCCACAATAAATTGCACATCCATCTCCATCACAGACGATGGCCTATTAATGAGCACTGGTCTAACACAGCCAACCTCCCCACGGCGCCATGCGGAGGGAGGGAGGGAGGGAGGGAGGGATGGATGGATGGAGGAGGGCAAAATCTACTGTATGAGATTCAGGAGTCAGTTGCGGTTGGTCAGGACGCAAGTCGGGGTAAGTTCGGTTGGTCAGAGGGAGATGTGCTGGAGATTGTGAAAAATGGATTCTCAAGTGATCTCTATAAGGCAGGGAAGGTTCATTTGTAAGTAGTAATGTGAACTGAATTGCATAAGAGTGTGGCCTTTGTTGTGATATACTATGTATTTTCTTATATGCATGAGCCAAACTGTCGCATCATAATTTAGCACTGATGTCTGCTTTTATTTTGATCATCTTGGTCCACCCTTATTAGTTCTTTGCTGTTAACTGTAGAGAGACCTTGTAAATACGGCACCTTTGGTTGCTGCAATCACCTTGGTTTGATTCCACGCAAGGAGCCACAAACAAGAACTCCACTGTGTCCTCAGAAGAAAGGGCCTTTTTACTTTTGAACCAAAAAGAGAAAAAAAATCAGAAATGTTCCATCTTGAGGCTAATTAACTATAAGGCGTTTTTAATTATGACTACTGTCATTTGACACCATTTGAAATAACCAATTCAGAGACACTAAAGATTTCACAATATTCATTGGTATTGTAACAAAACTACTATTGTATGGTTTTTTGTTTTGTTGTTTTTTTTTTTTGTATTGCTGTTAAGTATTGTTTCATGTGTGTGTGTGTGTGTGCTGGAACCTCCTGGGGACATGTTATATTTTGAAGTGATTAAACTATTTAATTGTGTGTCTATATTTTGGAATGGAATTATTTCTTCATTAAAAATGTTTTTAAAAACACTATATCTGTGTATTTTATTCCTTTCTTTCAATGAATCTTTCTTGACGCAACATGGAGTTAATCTGTTCAAAGGAGAAAGACAAGTCAGCACTTGCAGCAAGAAGCAGGACCCATCGGTTGAGTCTTAAACAACTAGAGCAAACCTTTCCCTGCCTTTGGAAGAGTTCACATATTTAATGCTTGCTTTATATCTGACACTGTTATAAGCACTTTATGTCACTTGACTCGATCCTTTGAATCGCAGCATCTAGCCAGGTACTTGGCAATTATGAGCTCCACAATTACGTGTCAAATGAATGAATAAATGAATTAGTAGCTTTTGTTTTGTTTGCACTAGAGCTAGTGAGAAAGGAGAATCAGCACACCCTGTAGGTCGATGTGTTGATAGCAACAGGAATCAAATTATGAGTTCCAAAGAGTGGACAAAAACTCAGAGTCCACAGAGGCAATCACTCCCTACATTCTTATTTCTCTTCCAAGAACCTCTGGATTCCCATGCGATGTTGGGCTGTGTTTTGTTTGCTCAAGGAGCCAGTTCCTTGGTGGAACCAATAGCAGAATCTGTGAGTCTGGCTCCAACACTTCATGAATGGCATTTTTGGGAACTCTGACTTGGAATGGTGCTGAAAGTCTGTGCTCACAGAGTCTGGGGTTGATTTACAGTTCATGAAAATGCTATAAACACTCAAGAGGCACTAGAGAAAGAAACGAAGAGGCTCTGCTATACATCAACGCAGGGGCAAATCCTGACCTGATATGACCACTAGTGGGAGCTCGGACGCCCCCCTCCCATTTGGAGGTGAGCAACAAAGGCATGTCTATGGGTGTCCAAGTCTCAGCTGCTTTTCAGTACCTCATCCCCTCATCTCCTAGGGGCCACATTTAACTCTGATCTCCACCACAGTATTTCCTAAATTTATCTAATTGCCAAAGTCACCTGAAGAATTGATTAATCTGAATTAGCAAGTCCAGAGTGGAGCCAGGGAATCTGTAATTTTAACAAGTGCCTCAGGTAATACAGTCCGACAGATTTTAAGAACTGCTATCCTCTTGCTACTCAAAATGTGGCCCAACGACCAACAGCATTGGCATCACCTGGGAGCTAGTTACAAATGCAAAATCTTGGGCTCCCAACCGGACCTACTGAATTAGAGTCAGCATTTCATCAAGTTTTCCAGGGAATCTGTGTGCACCTTAAAATTCAGGAGGCACTGACCTGAAGTCCTGCTTTAATCCTAGCCTTCCAGGATGAGGTTCAGTTGGGTCCTCCTTAAACTAAGATAGTGCAGTGCTTCTCAAACTTACAGAGTTTTGATTTAGTAAGTTGATGATGCTGATACTGATCTGAGGACTACACTTTGAGGTGCAAGACTATGGCATTCTTTTAAATAAGGTTAATTCTAGGGAACTTGTTGCTGGTAAGTCAGATTTGTGGATTTCTATACATAGCAGGAAAGATACTCAAGTTTAAGGGCTTGAACATAACGGCAGCTTGGTTGGAGCCGCTCAGGTAACACCACAGCAGTTAAACTATACTGTGGAAGCAGCTAAAGTTAAGGATTCTGTCAAAGAATAATCTTTCACTCCAAGGATTGGAATACGAAGAATCACCCGGGAGTAGGACTCGGTGGTCCTACTGGCCCCAAAAGGGCAGATTTGCAAAGTTGGGATAAGGCCAAGTGTGGTAAGAAGAAACTGGCAACATTTCAGATTCATCATCCCAACAGAGCACATTAGCTCCTGAGACACCTAACACCCAGGAAGAGGTTCTCTGGGCACCTTGGAAACCTGGAATTCTGCCATCTGGGACTCTGATGCCATGGACTACGCTGGGACACTATGTTGTGATGGAGCCACCCCCACTTTTGAGAGTCCAAAGATACATAAACAAGGATGTTCATGCAGCCTTGTCTATAGTACTAGAAAGAGCACACATGGACACTAATAAAAGAACACTTGAACTACTTATGGCATGATATGCTAGGCTGGAATACTAAGAAGCCATAAAAAATGATAAATGTATTTCTCATCATGGAAGATATCTGCATGACTCAAGCAAAAAATGAGATTATAAAAGGAGTAAGAATGATCCCAGTTTGATGAATATTTGAGTGCTTGTGTATAGAAAAATATACACCAAAATGGTGATGATGTAAATCATGGAATTGTGGATGATGTTTTTATTTCTTTCGTCATGTTATTCCAACTTTTCCAGGTTTCGTGACATAAATAGAGTAAATGGGAGAATGGGTAGATGGATAAGAAACACCACGGTTGGACAGTTTCTTTGATGTGGTAACAAGGCTACTTGAGTTGGCCGTCTTTGAAGGGCATGTCTAACAATGTGAACTTCCTATGCCTTCAGTAAACAAAGGATTCTCTTTTTGCCTGAAGAGATGCTCGATAACATTAGTGTGCCCCAGAACATTGGAAAATATGTGTATGCTTGCTTTATTTTAAAGAAAACCTAATAAAAATATCAGGGGCTTATGAGTCAGGTTAAGTAATGACAATCCTTCATCCTCCTCACAATGTTAATTGGTTTGGTAATAGCAAGTGAACCAGGAATGCAGACCGTGCATATTCTCCATCTCTGCTTCTGCTGTCTCATGTGTAAATGGCTTTTCCTAAGGAGGAGGGCCACTAAGGATAAGTCTTAGGCAAGAACATGTGTTGGAACACAAATGGCAGTAGGTAAACGTTTTCTCTGGCATTCCATTTTTCCGGAAGTCTCTTTGTGGCTGTTCTTCCTTGAGAACAGATATTCCCTGAAAATATCTTTTCTTTAGTTAATCTTACTGGAGATCTTTATTTCTTCAAACTGCACTGAGTACCATCTGATGTCCTTTCACTTAAACATAGGACTCCCTTTAGCATTTCTTACAGGGCAGATCTACTGATAATGAACTCCCTCATCTTTTGTTTATCTCGTCTTAATGTCTTAATTTCTTCCTCATTTTTGAAAAAAAAATTTATCAGATAACAAATTCTTGATTGACAGGGTTTTTGTTTCTTTTTTTCTTTCAGCACTTTAAATATGTCACTGCACTGCCCTCTGGCTTCCATGGTTTCTGATGAGAAATTTTTAATCTTATTAAAGCACCCTTGTACATCACGGTCACTTCTCTCTTGCTGCTTTCAAGATTCTCTCTTAGTCTTTGGCTTTCACCCGTTTTATTATACTGTATCTCTAGGATGCAGGAGAGAATTCTAGATCAAAGCTATACATCTTGGAGTTGTCAGAATAGAAATGATAAAGGAGACTGAGAAGGGGTGGTCAGAGAGGTAGAAGAATATCAGAAGCTGTGGTATCCTGGATGCCCAATGATGAAAGTGTTTCAAGGTGGAAGGCATCATCAAGTATGTTGAATGCAGCTGATAGTTCAGGTAAGCACCAGCAATTGGCTCATTGCACATGTGTTGAATTGAATTAACTTAACCATATTCAGAGAATCTCTTTGCTGTTTCTCAACTCCTGTGTTCTCAATGCAATCTTGAGAAACACTGAGTGGAAACTCATGCTTGTTTTTCCTCTCAGGGCCTTAGGGGATTTGTTGTGTGGCATAATAAATTCACAGGTTGACCCTGATTTCCATCCCTACACTCCCTCATGGGCCAGCTCCCTGCCTTCTTTCCCACTTGGGGAGATCAATCCACAAAGACAGCCCTGACAACTTACATACTGTGACAGGCACTTGATAACAACCAAGTTAAGATAGAAAGTATATCCTTATTGACCCTTCAAAATGGCTTTTTTTTTATCGTTATTTTTGGAAGAGGACTATTTTGTTTAATGATTTTGGAAATTCATCTGCCTTAGTTATATTTCTGAGGAAGAAAGGCTATATTATAAAACTCTTCTGCTCTCTGGATGTGTAAAAATAAAATTTAAAAAGTGGCTCTCCCATTTTGTGGCAATGTGTATTTGTTTGACACTCTATATGGGTGGTTTTGAGAGCTGAATTTAAGGAAACAATACATGTAAAGTACCCAGCAACGTTCCAGAACATGCTGGAAGCTCAGCTTGTGTCAGTTCCTTTCCCTTTTTCCCTTGTGAATTTTACAATCCTCGTTCTTAAAATGGGGGCAATACTTTTAGTTTTCAGAACACTCACACAAAAATATATTTAACTTAAAAACATAAGGAAATCTATTCAACCTCATTAGGAATGAAAAGACTAGAAATTAAACTATTGTTATACTAGAGGGATTCAGTGATCCCATAAACAGCAAATTCTGAGACTCTCCAGCTGGCTTTCTCCACTCAACACACAGAACACTGGCAGCCAGGAATTCACTCTTCAGATAAAAGATGAAAGAGCCCTCGCTGGGAAATCTAACCACCCCCCCCCAAAAAAATCCCCAAAAATACTGACATGGGCCAACCAGAGCACCCTACAGGAAAGGTCATATGCTAAAACTACCAATTAGCTCTTTAGACCCTGACTCTCACAAATGAGAAGACAACCAAGTATAACCCGACACTTGAGAAAAGCCTTTACTATGAGCGATAGAGACCAAAACAAAGAGGAAAAAAATAGCACCTTAGATTAAAGATAGACTATGATGAGGAAATTAAATAATACCATGCTAGCTACTAAAACAATCAAACCCATATAGAATAATGATTGTGTATAGCATAAAGCCCAAAAGGAAAGTACCTGATTTGTAGGTGGCTTTCCTCTAAATACTGATTTAGGAATCCTGGCTCCTTCCAGCTTTTGAAAATTTGTGATTTGTATTCTCTTTTGTAGTGGGTTTTCAATATTGTATAATGTCCATGCTGACAAAACCTGGATCTACCCATTTATACCTAGAAAATAAATAAGAAAATAAAAATAATTAATTGCCAAGTTGTTCAAAAAAAGGAAAAGTAATCATACATATCTTATAGTTCAATTTTGAATCTCAACTTTAAATAGCATACCTATGGTAATGTAAATACAGAATAACAATCAACCAAAATCGCACATAACAATTTTGGGAAGATGTGTACATG